TTGTATTCTGTCTTGACTGGACTTATACTCTTAGTCTTGACTGGACTCGTACTCTTAGTCTTGTTGGACTCTCACTGGTCTTGACTGACTTTCTTGACTGGTTTTGAATGACTTTCATTTAAGTCTCTGCCGAGTTGATGCGTCTGTAGGAAGATGATCGACGAGTATAGAATCTTATTCCTCTGACCTAAAGACTCGTACCTAAAATTGTATTATTATAATTTGAGATTTGCGTAAAATGAGACATCAATTGAACGGAGTGGGTGAACCGCAATAAGAGTGTACAATAGAGTGGATGCACCGCAGTGCAATAGAGTGGATGCGCCGCAGTGCAAAAGAGTGGATGCACCGCAGTGCAATAGGGTGGGTCCATCACCTTAATTATGACCTTATGATGAATTCAGGACTTCTTAGCCCAAGGTCACGCTGATGCTCCGCCTTCGCCGTCCTCTGTCTCCGAGTCGTCGCTAGGCAGGTCACCCCGCCCTCGGGTCCCGGATGTAACGTTGGACGTGTTCCGTATATTTGCCCTCCTTTGGGCCAGCTGATGCAAGATGCTGTTGCTTGTCACTTGCTGAGGGTAGTTTCCCATAACTGCAGACAATTCAGGATCTTTCTCAAAAATATATCCAGTCGTTTCTTGATTGTCGCAAAGGTGAACTCCCTTCCTTTCAACACCTTTAGCAAGGCATGAAACAGCCTCGGTCCTGTCACGGACAGTCATCCCTCACGAAGAGTCTACTCTTGCCGCGGCTCGGTTATTAATTGGAGGAATTCTGCACAGTCTCCCCCTCCTTTCGTTGTGATATGTCACAACTTTGGAGGTCTCACTCGCAAAGTTGGGAGCCAGTTCGGTTATCATCTTCCGAGTGTGTAATATGATGTACCTCTCTCTTCTCTCCAAAGAGTACAGTCCCAGGTGTTTCAACCTGCCCCATACAATAGTACTTCAGCTCTTTCAAACCGCTGATCCTATAGACGTGAAGGTCGGCTGGACTGACAATAGTTTCCGCACCGCGCCCGCCTTGAGCGGCGCCCAAAGCTGGCAGCAGTACCCAAGATAGGGGAGGGCTCTGAAGAGTGTAATCATTGGTGCTGCTTTCTCCTTCAAAATGTTCGCCAGATCCACCCCATCCGTTGTTTGCTTTGCGCAACTATTTACTTGATGTGGTCATTGAACGTGGCTTCGATACTCATCAACACTCCGAGATCTCGAACAAGTTGATTCTCCTCAAATTCTGTACCATTTGATGCTAAGTAGCGATGTGGCATCCCGATCTCTGTGCCAACTCTGTATCTCATTACTTCGTACTTGTTGCCGTTGAATTGCATATTATTGACTAGGGCTCTATCGTAGATTGTCGGCATTAGTCATCCTGTAACCTTTCGCTGTCTAGGTCTTCTGTGATCCTCATCAGTACTTTTGTATCGTCCGTAAATGACGATATAGTGCGTGGGTAAATCCTAGTCGATGTGGCTGCACCGGCTGAGTAAAAGAGCCACTTGAGTGGGTGCACCGCAGTGCACTAGACTGGGTGCACAACTGAAGTCCAGGCTCATTCATGACGAGCTGGCGTGGCGTCTGGCGTCATGCCAGCCACGCGTCGTGCAGTGGACGGCGAAGTGCCAGCCGCGCGTCGTGCAGTGGACGGCGAAGTGCCAGCCGCGCGTCGTGCAGTGGACTGCGTCGTGAAGTGGACGGCGAAGTGCCAGCCGCGCGTCGTGCAGAACAGCGCGTTGAGGACTCTCGCAACAATACGCATGTGTTAGCGAATATCTGACAATCCGCGTGTATTAATCAATGTTCACGCATGTGTTAGCGAATATCTGACAATCCGCGTGTATTAATCAATGTTCCGACGATCTGCATATGTTAGCGATGTTGACAATCTACGTGTATTAACGTCGTGCAGTGGACGGCGAAGTGCCAGCCGCGCGTCGTGCAGTGGACTGCGTCGTGCAGTGGACGGCGTCGGACTGTGGACGGTTTCATGACAGCCGCGCGTCCTGCAGTGGACGGCGTCGTGCCAGCCGCGCGTCGTGCAGAATAATGTGTTGAGGACTCTCGCAACAATACGCATGTGTTAGCGAATATCTGACAATCCGCGTGTATTAATCAATGTTCCGACGATCTGCATATGTTAGCGATGTTGACAATCTACGTGTATTAGCGGTATTCCGACAATCCGCATACATTAAGCCACTTCTGACTATCCGCGTGTATTTGCGATGTTCCGACAATTCCCGTGTATTAGCGATGTTTTAAGGCCGATCGATCTAATGTTGATAAATGCCTAAGTTTCGAGTCTCTGACGATGCCGTGGACAATCATCTGCATCGTCATGTTTTGCGATAGCATTAAAGTTAGATGCGTGTTTTGATTGCGAAAATGATTAGTTCTAGTAATCAGTGTTTGAAATCGATCTAACTGAATTTTTGCTTCTTCAGAAACTCAATTGCAATATGATATAAATACTTCAATGTTATATTAACTCTTGTCCTTCTCCGCGCGCCTGAGTAAGGTTTCCTGCAATGCTGAGGTATATGTAGCTACTGTAGATCTGATGTTTAGAAGAATCGTCAGTGAACGTGTCTATTTGTTCGCGAATAAAGTTCGCGAACTGGATACCCAGCAACAACCTCTGTTCTTGTCTGGATACCCATCAACAATTTTCTGTGGTGGAGCTACTTATGCTAAAAAGCTACGGTTTTCTTTCAACACATTTGATTTCCTGCCACGATGTGAATGCGTTACTTGATATAAAAGCATCCATATCGATTAATATTCTTGAATTTGTTTCGTGCGATAGTAATTGTCATAATGAGATTTTGAATGTTCTAGTTGTGACCTTATGTAATCTCACTTCTTCATGCACTTGGCTTGTCTTCCAACTGCACCCTACCTTGCCAATTGCCATTGGCATCAAACCCAAAATAATATAAATAATCGTGCTCACTCAGGGGCGTCTCATTAATGCTTATTGTTTTTGTACATATTAAAAAAAGATTTTCTATCGATATAATTCATTTAATTTACGTTAAAGGAGTTTTGTTAGAGTGAGAAATGCACTACTAATTATTACGCTTAGCGGATCGGAAGCGATATTTTCAGGCTTGACTGTGTGTGCCAAGAACGTGAGTGCAGATTTTTTTGGAAAAACTTCGCGTTACAGACACCGCTCAGCTTATTGAAAATGACATTTATCTTTGTCTTCGTGCCAAGAAAAAGTGTCAGGGAACTAGGGTGACTTGGTTAGCAACGTTGTTGATAGCAAGTGTCAGTCCTGGCGTGGGCTGCACCCGCCATATTTCAGGGGAACGTCGGTGACAGCGCTTACATCGCTCACGTCGCCCGCCAGGAAATGTTTTGATGTAGGCGACGGGCTGGGCACTCGATGCTGTCTCTGTATAATCTTCATGCTAATGCAATACACATGATGATTATGTTCTTGATTTGATTAAGGATTTATAATTCGAGGACACCTGACAAACCTTTAGTATCGTGACGAGCGGATAAGTACGATCCTTGGAAGACTTTACCTCATGTCACTGATATACTTTTATTTTAAAATTTGCATGATATTATTATTGACTGAAATTTTACCTTGTAGCCCTGGGAGCCAAAAATTCAATCGCACAATACTCTATTTTATGCCCCTACTTTTGTACGTCACAATAAAAATTGCCGTTGTCTGATTTATTCAGAGCTACTGCAGTTCCAGTAATTCTCCCGGAAAAATTCAGAAGAGGAAGCCCGGAGATTGGCTACAAGTTCTTTTGTTAATATCCGTTATTGAGCAGTGTGCTTCCAATGCCCCTGCCTGTAATAGTGTCATTACTTATGTCCGTAATGGCCCAATGGATGAAATAGTTCTGGAACTGCTCGCTATTTGGCCAGCGTCCAAAGAATTCAGCGGATTCATCAAAATTGGAATCACTCTTGAGTCATTTGAGGTTCAGTCTGGGGTCGCCGTCTGGGATCGATTGAGACACATTTGAAGGTGTCTATTCCTTCAGAGGGCTGGAGGAATGAAATGAGACGAAGGCTAAGGGGTCTGTTCCATTCCTAAGCTTGAGGAATGAAATGAGACGCAGGTTCAGTTGTCAGATCCATTCCTGGGCTAAGGGAATGAAACGAGACGCCGCCTCAAGGGGCTGATCCATATCTGGTCTGGAGGAAAGAGGAATGAAATGAAATGCAGGCTCAGGTGTCTGATAAATTCCTGGTCCGGTGGAATGAAATGAGACTGAGGTTCAGATGTCTGAGTCACTCCTGGACTAAAGGAATGACCACAGTCTGAGATGTCTTTATTTGGATTGGAAGAATGAAATGTGACCTAGTCGGCGGAATAATTTTTCTTCTTTGGCTAAGGGAATGAAATGAGACTCTTTCTGAGCTGTTTGTCCCATTCCTGTACTGGTGGAATGAAATGAGACTAATTTTGAGGTGTGATTCCTAATCGAAATTGTTTAAATTCGGCAAATTGTTGAAGCGGTATAGACAATTTAATTGGTATATTAAATTTGTTATATATAAAGATTTAATCTGTATGAAACAGTAATTTTGTTTCATTGCGGGAGGGATGGGGTGTTTCATCGAAGTATCGAACTACCTGTCTTGACTGTTTAATTGTGTTCGTCAAGAGTTGCCTATTAGTAATTAGCCTTAATAGCTGTTCGTCTATTAGCCTTGGCAATGTTTAGCCTTCTTCATCAAAACTCTTTATTAAACTTTTAGGGTACATCTAATTTCTGATAGCTTGATAACCAATTAATTAATTGTTCCCTAGTGTAACGTGATAGTTATATAACTAATACAAATACCTCATTTAAACATTAACATCTCATTCTGAAGAAATTCTAGGAACTTCACGACTAAAGTTGGTGGGCAAATAATTGTAACTGATTTTAATATAAATTGATGACAAACGCGTATGATATTAAATTAATATTAGCAACAAATTGAGCAAGACTGCAGTAGTTACTCTTGTGCACAGCAGGGATGGTCGCGGTGGTCGGACTGGACGCCGTGCTCGAGGACGTGCGATGGCGGCGTGGCCATGCAGACTCGCCGCTGCCTCGACCTGTCCTGTCACGGCGACTCCGTCAGGTGAGAACGAACTTCTTTAACTGGCTATTTTGTTAGCCTTTTAAATTCATTATTGCTAACTATATTAATTTATTTGCACGGAATATAATTATGCCTCATTGATTCAGGTTTTTCCTGTTTACACCAAATTTGCCTCTAGAGATTCCTTCTCAACTTCTGTCCACTCTGCTCAACTGTTGGCCTATTTGTGACAGGTATTCCAGAATTGTCAACGGTATGAACATATTTATTATGAATGATCGAATGTGTAATGTATTTGTTGTTGATTAAACTTGCCCATGTTTTATAATTATTGAAAGTTTTCACACAGCATACTGTTACACTTAATGCTGTCTATGTAATTTCTGATTAGGCTACAGGTAGATAATTCCTCCAGACAAGCGCAACTATGGAATAGCCATAAATAAATCTGATTGATTCAGAACTGATTTAGACGGTTGAAGCTTAATATCGATTTAAATGATATGATAATTATACGTTTGAAATGTTATATTTGTAATAAATACCTCACTATCAGTACAGAGCTATCATTTTTAGCACAGGTGTTCTAATTTTTTTTCAAACGGCGCACTGAAAGAATGATTTTTAAAGAGAACTTGTAAGTAATATTTCCCTTGCTGCATCACAAAAAGTTTCGATTACTTAATGGTTTGAAGATGGAGGCGGCCGAGGCTCCTCATTAAAACAAGAAATAAATCTACGTGAATGTGTGCCTCTAAAATTTAAAATTTATTCTTGACTGAACTGTAATTAAGATTGTTCATGGATGATTACCGCTGAGGCGAAAAAACTATGCATCGCTCATGATTTGATTGCATCCAAACTTTAGTCCGGTTATGCTATATGTAATAAACTTGCAAAACATAATGGATCTTTCGGAATGAGTTGCCTTATTACGTTATCAAACTTTGAAACATCATATTTTATTCTTTAAGCAGATATCTTGGACGCTTGACGCTTCATTGCGAAACTTTTCTCCAAAAGAAACCACACATGTGGTCCACTCTGTATTGAACCAGATTTCGGTCCATTCATCCATTATCTTTATATTCAGGGAAGTGAACTCGGAATTTTGACTTGATTTTTTTTCAAAAACTTTTAGTTAGCCAATTTTGTAGACTGGTAAAATAAAGCCGATTTTGTTAACGGTTAAATAGCTGCTCATAACTTCTGCTTCTTCATTGCACATTTAAGTTCACGTTCTCATATTCCAATAAATTGTTTCTTTTTTGCGCCGTCAAATTATCCAGTAAATTTGGCTTGATAATTGCATGAGCTTGTCTCGAGACTCCTGCAGCAATTTATCACTCAAGGCCTTGTACGTGTTCTCATTCAGAGACTGATTTGGACAGAAGATTGTAGAATAAGATTGTCTGGCATCTCGCAAAATATGCACTCAGAGCTTGATGCGGCTGGCGGTTAGATTTTCGCGAACATGACGTGCGAAAATCTTATATTATTTAGATGCATGGGAGATTCTGAGACTCAGAAACTAATTTGTTATCTCTGCTGCCGAGTATCGTTGTGTTCAATGCGACGAGCTCAATGCTTGTTATTTAAGTGTGATTTTTCTGGCCTCAAAATGCACCAATATCTCCATATTGCGCCTTGTGTATTGTGCCGGGTCCCAAGCCTCAATTTCTCGCCGGATAATCCCTGGACACGCATTGGGAGCAACTGGCAGTTTTTCGGGCACCGGGAGCAAGGGGTTTGAGGGGCGCTCGCCGAGCTGTCGTTAGAGGCTGTTTTAGGCTGGTGTTTTTCTCCCCAATCTCATTCTTTGAAGCTATTTCGTTGGTTTTATCTCAGGGAAAACATTGAGCTGAGGAAGTGGATGGCTGCATAGCAACGCTTGCTCTCTGTACACTTGAAATGTGGCCGCGTCTCGACATCGCTTCAATTTGTTGAGCACTTTGCTTAAAACTCGGCCATTGAAGACATAGCAGTGTTGGTGGCGACGACTAATGCCCGTCTGCTGGCGCGCCTTATGCTGCTCCGCAACACTTTTTAAAAATATGACTCGTTTGGACATTTCAAGTGAATGCGTTAAAGCTGAATTAGTTTGGCGGTATGCAAATGCACATTCGCTTGTTGTGCATCTTTGCTTTCAGGAGCAGGAATTTCAACGTACTTGTAATGCAGAGGAATCATTTACTCCGTGCCGATCCTCCACAAAGTTAATCCGTTTTCATACTGTTTTTTTTTCAGGTATGAACTGTGCAATCTGACTCCATGTCCCGACGATGAACCAGACTTCCGAGCCGTCCAGTGCGCCGAGTACAACAGCATACCTGTAGACGGCCATCTTCGTTCGTGGGTCCCGGTGGCCGTGACGCCAGACTTGGACGAACTCGACAACGCGGATGATCTTCCAGCGCAGCCATCAGCCTCTAAGAGGCATCGATTACAGGACGGGGACAGCGAGGAGGCTGTCCTGGGCCTACAAAAGGCGAGCACTGATGATCCTTGCGCGTTGGTGTGCAAAGACCAAGATGATGTTGATGTGCAAAGAGCGGTGGTTCTGAGCCCCAGGGTACACGACGGGACTCGCTGCTCCCACGGCAAAAGGGACATGTGCATCAATGGCGTCTGTCAGGTGAGATTTGTCGTTACTTTAGTTCACATTTATTTTCTTTCGGTCGTATAAGCACGCATAACTTGTAATTGCTCGCTCCCTGAGCACGAGGGCTTCACTGATTGGCAGCTGTGCTAAAAAAATTCGAAAGCTTAAAGTATAAATTCTAAAATTTAATTGCTAATTTTTACAACGCTAAAAAAATGTGAACTTTCTCGAAATGTTTTATTACACTTACCCAGTGTAAATATTTAATTCATACTCAACTAAAAAAAGACTCTACGTAATCACTCATGCACTCTACTGATGAATTCGAACTGTTCGTCATCGGTAATTTTGCTCGATGCTATTTTCTCCTGTGATGCTGACCGACAAAATAAGTCCTGTGTGTTTTCCCTGCTCGTAACTTATCTAGCGAAATATTCTCAAAATCTCCTCTCCGGCCACCAAACCAAACTGAAAGCTTTATGGCGATCCCTAGGCCAGTCTATCAAACACAATGCGCTTACCGAAAGATATATCCGCTGGGAACATAACAGTCTTGGAGCTTCTTCTGACTCGGAAAATGTTGCTCTGCATTTGTTCCTTTCATCTGTTGGAAGGCTTCGGTTCACATGTTTGACTCGCGAATTTCAGCCGAGAGCCAACATCTCCGAGCACTTCCACTGGCCAAAACCCTCTTCACGTCCTTCTTTAAGACATCGTGAATTTTTTATAGGCGTGCGAATTTCCTGGTAGTCCACAAAACTGGCGTATTGTCTCGTGTGATACTCTCCTTGAATGTAGTCCAGACTCGCGCGTCTTCATTCAGAGATTATTTAAGCGCCGTTCGAATATGTTAACGCTAAGATTCGGGCTCGTGACAAAGCCCGTGTTCCAGTACCTTATGAGAAGCCATTCGCCCCGCTTCTCCCGTAGACTTTATGCGGCCGTAGCAAAAAACGTGCCGTTCTCCAGTTCGCATCTAGGTAGTCGAATTTTGTCTTGTATCCAAGTACTGGTATAAGTACAAGTAAATGCTTTGCAATTTTGTAAAGTGAAGTCTGAAAATTATCAGTCGAAAAATTTAATCATTTTCCGGGTGCTGGAATTTAAGAATGTTTTTTTTTTTAATTATTAGTATAGAGATCCGGAGTCTTTCTTTTCTTAAAGGATAAGATTTTATTGGTCCAGAAAATGAAGACATTGATGATGCCAGGCACTCCAGATAGTGAGGAATAACTTCAAGTCCCGTGAAGACTTTCTCCAGAAGGAGGTCATCACAAGTCCTCGTGCTGCCCGTCTCGTCCCGCCTCGACCCGTTAGAAGACCTTGCCAAAACGGACCCCTCCCCCACTTCCCCCCTCTCCCATCTTCCCCTACAGCGCTCCTGCAAACAAGCTCTCGAAGCGTCTCTGAAGATGGCCTTGACTTTCCAATGTCTAACTTTTGAGCCACAAACCGTCTAGTTTTAGGTCACAAGCCGCGTTGTTTTAGGCCATAAACGGCCTAATTTTAGGTCACAAGTCACGTCGTTTTAGGTACAAACCGCCTAGTTTTGGATGAAAACGGCCTAGTTTTAGGCCACAAACGACCTAGTTTTGGGCATCGAACGGCTTTGTTTCAAGGTTATAAGCCGCGTAGTTTAAGGCCACAAACGGCCTTATTTTAGACCACAAATTGCGCGGTTTTAGGCCACAAACCATCTAGTTTTGGAAACAAACTGCCTAGTTTTAGCAACGGCTTTGTTTTAGGCCACAAGCCGTCTAGTTTAAGGCCTCAAAGCACCTAGTTTCATGCCAGAAACTGCCTGGTTTAAGCCCACAATCCTCCTTCCTTCACATTCAAAGTCGATTAACTCGTTTCCGGCCGCAAAGACTTGCAAAAAAATGCTGTGAGGCTCTTGGTATCCGTTTTTTTTCATCGTACTCGTCTCATTTAACATCTTGGAGGAAATCAAATTTGATACTCCATCATCCTCTAAGACTTGACTTCCGATTTGCTTATGATTCCGACTTGCTTATGTTGTTTTGCTTGACTTTGTTATAGATCTTTAATTAAATTTTTCATTGTTCGCAATTTTAACGTCGTCCACCTGACTTATTCATCGTGAAAAAATATCTTCTAGCGGGTCGGCTGCGACCTTAAGCTTGGCTCCTCGCTTGAGTTGGACGAGTGTGGCGTTTGCGGAGGCAATGGATCCACTTGTGCCACACAAGCTCCAAGGAGCAACAAGCCCTGGGCATCTCTCCTCGTCATCCCCCCATCTAGCCTCACGAACACGTCTCCTCTCTCCACGTCCCAAGACGCGACGTCAGATGGCGACTACGACACATCAGAAGAAGTACTAAAGACTGACGTGCTTGCTGCTCATCGCCCGGCTCAGAACCAAAATAGGCAAACTGGCGTTGAAAATACTAATTCCAATGACAAGAATGTCCAAACGAGTTACGTGGAATTGGAGGATGAATTCCTCCGTCGAGAAGAGGAAGAGGCAGCCAAGCTCGTGCACTTCCACTGGGAGCTTCGGCCCACGGGCTCCTGTTCCACCTCCTGCGGTGGAGGTGGGTAGAGCTCTTCCCTTCTAAATATGAGTAGTAGCAGTGCATTCATACGTGGTGAATTTTTGTACTAATTTAGTGTGGTTATGAAGCGTTTTACAACGTAGATGAAGGGTTTGAAGTTGTTTTTGTGTTAGATGCTTGTTGCTTCTATCTTTCCATAACTATCGTATTGCTAAGAAAAATATTGAGTCTCCGTTGAAATAAATGTTGGCGTTTTGATTAATAAATATCTCGTTACTTTAAAGCTACAGAGCCACCTTGAATTACTGGTTGATTTTGAAGTGTTTGGCTGTGATGTGTGACTGTATCCAGGCTACCAGATGGTGACGGGCGTGTGCGTGTCGTCGACGGGCCGCCATGTGCTGGACGAGCACTGCGACGTTGCCACGCGACCCGTGCCCAACATCGAGACGTGCGCCGCCGTACGTTGTCCCACCAGGTGCGTTATATGAAACCAATTTTGTTTGTCAGTTATGAACATTTAATTGATTTATTTACTTTGACATTTCTTTCTCGCTTTGTGGCAATAACATTTTATTTCGTTAAATCTTCTATTTAGTCCTTACGTCCTTTAAAAAAATAGAGTTGAGTTAATTTTAAAATTTTGTGCGAACATTTCTGTAGTTTGGTGCTGAAATATGGTTGTGAAAATGTTGCGGCTTATACAGGGTTATAATATAAATGATGAACCCAATTTGAAAAATTCGTATTTATTTGCGTGTGAAGTACACAGGTATAATTTATACACAAATGGAAAGAGAAAGATTTCAGCTATTTTTACATGTTTATAAATGTTAAAAATTCTCTTGTCCCTCAGGACGTGACAGTCAGTCACTTCCTGAGCGTTGGGTAGGACGCATAGGAAATGAAGATCAGGCTCTACACTTCTGGCCACCGAGATCACCTGATCTCACCCCATGCATGTGACTATTTCTTGTGGGGTTACGTCAAGGAAGCTTGTGGTTTCGTTTTTTGCATATTTATAAATGTTCAACATGTCCCACTTGCGCTGCAGGGCAAACATCTAAACGGTAGCCAAACTCGTCCCACACACAAAGAGTTGCTGGTAGAGGCGGGACGTAAACAGAGTTGCTGGTAGAGGCGGGACGTAAACAGCTTCCTTGACGTAACCCCATAAGAAATAGTCACATGCATGGGGTGAGATCAGGTGATCTCGGTGGCCAGAAGTGTAGAGCCAGATCTTCATTTCCTATGCGTCCTACCCAACGCTCAGGAAGTGATTAACTGTCACGTCCGTAGGGCCAAAAGGATTTTGAACATTTATATACATGTAAAAATACCATGAACCTTTCTCTCTCAATTAATGTATAAAATTTTCTTTTCTAATTATTCCATGGTAATTCCAATTATTTATTTTTGAATTTTTACATGAATAATACGAATTTATCAAACTGGGTCCATCATTTAGAAAAACCCTGTATTTAGTTGTAGAAGTGCCCATTTTTTTCCACTAAAATGCTCAAAAAATTTCCTCGAAAACAAGGAGCTATCTGAATTTTTGATGCTAGCTTTATGAATAAATTTCTACTTAAATTCAAGCATAAAAATCATTTAAAATAATTTTAATTGAATTTACAAGAGGAAATATGACTGTTTGACCAAGGTTCTGTACAAGAGACCCAACATAGTTGCAGCATGCGAGCTTAACAGGCCTAATTGCAGGCCTCTTGCTCCTCCGCCCACCAAATTCAGTGGCCGCATCAGAAGAGCTGCTGCGCTCAGTTTAGGGACGCCATTTCCGACAGCTCTTTGCCATTGATTATTTAGAGGGCAGTTGCGCTGGAACTTTTGTCGCGTTATAATCATGATGCCAGTGGGCCCGACTCTATGCAAAGTTGTGAGCATGTCCGAGGTTTTTAGCTAAGACTGGCCCTCGAGGTATTCAATAGGTTACTTGTTAAGCCAGCGCCGACTGTTATGGCCGACTAAAGTGCTTCGTTGTGACCGACTTATGAGTTTGGCACGCTCGCCTGCATTAAACAATGCCATCGTGACAGTCCCTCGACCGACCCTGGCGGGGGTAAAGCATAAGACCGACCATCGTATCACCGGCGCAAAAATTTGCGTCGGTCTAAATGTACGAACTAATAATCATAATTTCAAAACTTCTCGTTGCAGACTTTGCTCGCTGCTGACTTGCTTTGTTTGCTTGATATGCTTTTACTGGTCCGCAATAACATTTTTTTCTTCATAAACGGTAGTTTTTCAATTTCATACTTTTCCATGTGAAGTCTGATTCTTATTTTAAGATTGTGTCAATCTTATCAATTAAAAATGCATTTCTGACTACATTCCATTGCCGAACTGGACATACACTTTTTAGCGTCATTTCCGACACTTTAATTTTGTACACAGTCGCGGCACTGACAACTTGCATTGAGGGCGTCAATTTTTTTGCCGTCTCGTCGGAGCCACATGCAGGTTTTGCTATCGATATTATTTTAATAACCTGGAGAGCGATCGTCAGCTCGCCCACGCTGCCTCTCACGGCTATCGGTTAAGAGCCGTCGCTATCGCCACAGCCTGCATGCAAAATGCAGCTATGCTGCTTCAGAGAATTTCGTTTCTTTAGCGGACGTCGGTAAACTGGCGAAGATAACGTAAGTTTCCCGCTCCAGTATGGAAAAAATTATCTAAATTGAATTTCATCATACGGCTTTTATGTGGATGTTATTTTTAGTTTGTAAAGATATTTCTCGGAATCTCGTTCGAATCTGCTTCCAAAAATGAAAACACGAAAAATAAATTTCTGTAATCTAAATAATCTGAATTCGCTGCCCCCAGAGCTAAAAGATCCTTTTTTCTGCATGCGTTGATCGAGACAATTCGACTCCTGCGACAAAATATTTGTTACAAGAAGAGTACTACTTGTATGCGTGTGTTGTGAACATAATTACCGGAACGTGGGTACCATTCGTTCTAAATTGTTCAGGCATTAAGTGACTGAAATAAGTAATTAGTTTGTGCTAGAAAATCGTAGCATATACTGGACAGTGGAGTGTGCTTGGAATAAGTATGTTATAGTGAAACATTTTTGTGGCTTGCGACTGGCATGGCTAAGCAGATGAACTGATATATGTTCGCGCCGAGAGATTATACAATTTTACCCGAGTTTATTGTTTAAGCAAATTAAAAATACAAAAATTTGTATTGAAAAGTCGAGAATTTTTCGAGGAATACATGTACTACGAGATATTTTGAGTTTAATTCGATATATTTATTCGAAGTTCACAATTACGGAGACGGCATCAAAACCAATTTTGTTTTATGTTCAAACGAATATAAGTTCCTATATCATTAGTCGCTAAAATCGCTTCTTCACCAAGAATTTGCAGTACTTGTAATAAGGAAGTTGAGTTACCGCACATTCTCAGCGCATCGAATGTTCGCAGTGAATGAAGTGTGCCGGTGATTTTCTTCCAATTTCAATTAATTACGTACACGTAATTAATGTGTGCTGCACACATTAATTGTTTTGTGTGTGCTGCACACATTGTTTTCCTTGATGTTAAAAAGGTGTTTTTTCATTGTTCACTTCCATGTAGTAATTTTGTGGCGAATTTCTATTGTATCAGTCAAACCAGTAATTGATTTCTCTTGAATTTAAATTTTCTAATCTGCATTTTTGTTACGTATACATAAAAAATACTCATGAAAGACTTTGCTCTACTTATAAAACAAGCAAGAGGAAGAGACATTGGCGTACAAACAATTTGGACGTCCACTCAATTTCATTCTCCTGCTGACTTCCTCGACTTCTTTACGTATGCTCGTCCCTATATTATAAATCAAGAAGCTTGTTCAAGCTCCTAGTATGAATCTTCTTCTCCTTAAAGTTGTCGTTGGAATTGTTTCGAGTAAGGTAAGATTTGTCACAAAGAGTTCATGTTGATTTTAGATGATAAAGCCGATATCAGTGATGTCACATCTCTATTCGATGGCGGATGCGTGTTGTACTTTCAAAGATAATTTCACTGTTAAATTACGTTTTGCTGAAAAATATTCAACTTATGTTTAAAATTGTTCTTGCCCGAGCTAATCGATAAATCGCAGAATTATGAAGCTACAGTTGCATTTCGTCCTTTCCGCATAGTCGTTTATTGGTTTCCATTAATTAGTTTTGTTGTTATCGTTGTGCTGTTTGAATATTATTGCATTCCTAAAATTTGACAACTCAAGTTATACCATCGATCTGTACTGGATCTATAGGTTTCGTATGAACTCACGTTTGTAAAAACATATATCATTGAAATTATACTTAGTAAATTTAGCGAATCATGTGAAATATAGACTTAATAAATAACTTGATATCGATTTATAATTCAACCTTAGAGGGCCATTTGCATTTAATGATCACCATGCCCTCACTGCGTGCACCAAAAATTGGATAGTCATTTGCTGCACTTGATCTTCATAAATTCTTAGTCCGGTAACGAAAATGTGAAGACCCGAATACAATTTTGTTGCCTAGTGGGTAGTGGTTAAGATATCGTATCATGCGCGCGTTCCGAGTAAAACGTCGCAAGAATTGGAAAAGTTAGCGAGGGAGCCACGTATATCGCTCGCCCGTGGGGGATATCAGTGAGCGCGATCGCGTCCGCTGCAATGTATTCCGTCAAAATGCTGACGCTCGAGCAATTTAAGAGAACTCGGGTGCTCGCTTAATCTGCATAGTTTAGGTATCTAATGTGGTATCAATGAAATTAAACGTAATCTTTAAGAATGAAAATTTAGAATTGAGAATTTAGTTGGAAAAATTGTTAGTTTGGAAAATTGTTATTCCCGCCGTTTCTGGCGCTACTACCCAGGAATAAAAAACTTCGCAAGCAATGCCATCATACAGTTGCACAATTCTTTACTTGATAAAAATTCGATATTTGCTCAAGAAATGGTTAGAAATTATTGCTTAAATTTCAGTCAAAGAAATTTTAAACCAAACATATTTTCGCTCGGAACCCGCTCGTTCGGTCTGATACGCGAGCACGAGACACGCGTCAATATGCAATCGGAAGAAGATTCCAGTTCAGTGTTAGTCATTGTTGGCTTTGTATGTGATTTTAAACTTTACGTATCGTGCGCGTTGGTCCATCCTTGCCAAACGCAAGAAGTGCATTCACGTATCCGATCACGCTGTCCAATATTGTAAGAGTTTGCTGAAGTCAACGATCTCAACGTTTGTTAAGAACAGCTGCTCCATTTATTTTTCAAAAGCACCAAAATTCAGGAAGTTGGGGATTCAGTGAAGCATCAACTTGTAGGAATGAGCTTCATATGTATACGACATAGGAAAAAATTAATTTAGTCAGGCTGATTTCATATGAGATAATTGAAGGGTTTCTTGACCTATATTGGTACTCGCTTAAACTTCCAGGAACGGTACCTCATTCAAGGAACTACTGTATGTTTATCATTTTAAATATTATAATAAAAATAAATACTTATTGCGTATTTCTTACGTACGAGGCTACGCTTTGGATACAAAAACTTTTACTTTATCTCCAGAAAAGCACCCGGTGCAAAGGAAGATCGCCTTTAGCACAGCAGAGGCAACACTGCACATACTGCTTCAAGAGAGTACAATACCAATCTGTTACCATGTAACACCTCTTTATATTTCAGAAATGGATATCTGGAAATTTACTTGACATCACTTCATCAGATGGGTGGTCCGATCACTCCACTGCTGACTTGATAACAATCATCTAACCTTTTTTCATTAGGATGCAGCTCTCGTACCCGATTCAATATTGAACCTCATCTGATTTGTCGGATCTTGTTCGTCAATAATTAGTCTTCTAGGAAATTTTAGAGAACTTGTCGCCACGTAAGTTTTGCTACTCCTCCTGTAATGCTATCGATAATTTAAGTTCCTATTTCACGCAAGCAATCACGAGGTATAAAGCTGAATTCTGACTAGCGGTTGAAATTACGACTCTGAAATTAATCATGAGTTTCTGTTGGCAGGTGGCAGACGGGCGAGTGGGGCGCGTGCTCGTTGGACTGCGGTAAGGGTTACCAGCTACGGGAAGTCTTCTGCGTCGAGCCCGGCATATTCGACACCAAAGTCCCTGATCATTATTGTGACGATGCCATCCGACCTGACCACAGACTTGCTTGTAACACGCACGACTGTCCTCGTTGGTATGAGGGTCTCTGGTCACAGGTGGGATATGGAGCTCTTGAAGCAAGCGTTCTAATACTTATAATCTGTGACGTTGAAATTACCACAAGTGATGATAAAGCTTACAGATCATTTCCTCGTATTTTAATTGTACATTCCAATGACATTTTCAATTGGAATGATAATTAATATGTGTAAAGTCAGTTATGAACGATGTTTGTTGCTCGAAATTGAAACTGAACATTTCAATGACATTTTCAATTGGAATGATGATTAAGACGTGTAATATTAAGATGTGTTATGAATGATATGTTGATATCAGTGCTCGGTGAGCTGTGGCTCGGGGCTGCAGACGCGCGTGGTCCATTGCCGCGACTGGCGCGGTCGCTCCTCCAGCCTCTGCCAGGACTCCAAGAAACCTGACGTGACGCGCCCCTGCCGTACGGGCGTCCCCTGCCAACATGACCTCTTCACCACCACGACGCCCTCCGCCCTCCAGCTAGACTTCGGCCACCGACCTCAGCGCCGTGGTACTTGACCATGCACTTGTAGCTGTGTACCTTTTGCCTATGTACTTGTATACCTTTTGCAGTTAAATAATAAGTGGGTGGTCTCTAGCTTTTGGGGCAATCTATTGATCGATTAACTGGAGTTATGGGATCTATTAAAAGACTAGATTTCTGTCCCTGAGTAGTCAAGTAATATATTGTAGTTCTGTGCATACGGGGTCAATTTGTTATATTTTGATCTCGTATAATCACTAGAGATAAGAAGTAAACCTGTAAAGATATTTACGTCTAGTGATAAATGCAATTTCATTAAACATCGCAATCTTATTATCTTATTTAAGCTTTCATTCAGCAACATTAGGTGGAACGTTACGATAACCTGAAAATTTTTATTAAAATCACCCGTTCTTTGAATTTAAAAGCTATTACGATTGCGATAAGTCGTGCGATTTTAGAACGTCGTACAATGGTGATAAGTCGTACGATGGTATTTAGTTCTACGATGGTAGTAAATACTACCACAGCAGGAAATATGATTATTTATTGAGAAGCTCACTTCGATTTGTTTATCGTGCTTACGACATGGGAACTATATTGAATATTTCTTGTTAGGGTCATGGGCGAGCCAGGGGGCGGATGCGACGCAGGGCGAGGACGACTCAAAGGGCGCCTCCCTCCTGCCGGTGCCTGCAGCGCTCACTCACGACCAGCCCGTGCCCGCTGAACCCACGTGAGTGATGCCCGTCACGGGCCAAGTCTGCTGTGACACGTCGCTTGATTTGTTTGGCGGTAAATAAAATAATAAAAATAGGCAAAATATGTGAAATATTCATTTTCACAAATTGAAGGAAAGTAACGAACAAACTCTATTGATGAACATCGTTATTATTCATCACTTTTTAATTCATGTGTAAACTGTGATTACTACTTTGGGTTGCGCTACTTGTGTCTGAAAACTTTAAATCCCAAAATATATTGAGTTTACATGTATTTTGATGACCATTCGAGCGTATGTTTTAATGCTATTCCACATTTCCCCCCATTTTTTTATAGAAATCACAGACGTTCGGTGCGTTGAATTACACGGAGATAAATCGATGAAGCGTTATTTACTCAGCAGATTGTGTCTCAGGAGCCAGACATTCGAAAATGTTCCAGCTATCGTGGCTCTCTTTTCAACCTTTCCGGTTTTGAACTAAACCCACTAAAAGCAGTCGTATAATTTGCGATGATCATTGCGAGAGTTTGTGAAGTGCACAGACGTCGGTGTGTCTGGTGTTTCTCGCGGCCTCTTGTTTAATGCCTGGCGAAGTTGGCGAGCGAGCGCCCATTTGGACGCTGTCAAGGGCAGCGCATCGGGCGGCCGCTCCTTCGTTTCTCCCGGGAGTTTCCGCTAGCGTGCGTTTAACGCCTCAGTCAACGGCCACTGCCTCGCCCCCACACCCACGACAGAAATGAATTTTCTCATGTTGTAGGAAGACGATCGTAAAAGATCTGACAAAAGACTGGGACTCTGCGAGTTGGACATCAGCGAGATCTATTATTAGTGGCCTGCTCCTGAGAATGTTTTAGCTCCACAAGAACAGAGTAATGGACGCCCGTGGACGGACGTCTTCGATGTTGAGGCCGCTGAAATATTGGAGTAAAATTTTAAGAATTAATTTGAACTTTGAATTGTCTAGACTTACTGGAGTCGCTATTATATGTCGTGTTCATTGAGTGCACTATGATGTTTAGCTTTGATGAATACCATGCGTGATCTAGCATTAAGTTGAATGTTTGGATACAAGAGAAATGGGTTCACTTTGCGGATTGGACTCTGACTTAGTCTTATTGTCACCCTCAAGTTGGTGTATTTCAATATAAACGTTGACATGTTGCGTAGCTGCACTTCCGCCCTCACATTCTCTAAGTGGGCAAATCGTCCGTTAAACTGTCAACTCTCCGGAACGTACGGCTCTCTCGCCCACTCTTCATCCAGAACCTCTTGCCCGCTGTTTATCTAGTTTTCTTGCCCACTCTTCATCCCACTCTCCTCTTCATAAATTTCGTACTCTTCATCCAAACATCTCGCCCACCTTCCATTTCATTTTTCTAGCCCCTCTCGATCTCATATTCCCGCACACTCTTCATACGAACCTCATCGTCAGCCTCCTATGTTGAAAATTAAGGCCTTCGTATTTGCGGCCACCGGACGGTCGGCGGCCACTGCACCGACGGTGGCCGCCGCGTCGGCGGACGCGATTTTCGTGCGGGTTTTGGCAGCGGCGCGCGTTGTCATGGCGACGCCGCCATGTGACGTCACTGACATCTTGGCGCCGCCTGCTGAGACTGCACCACTAGTGCAGCTGGTGCGCTGCACCACTAGTGCAGCTGGTGCGCTGCACCACTAGTGCTGCTGGTGCGCTGCTGTCTCTTATACACATCTAGATGTGTATAAGAGACAGGCACTTATTAATATCTTAACCCAAAACTGTGTAATTATTCCTTCTGGATTTTACTGTATATTTGGTGAAAAAATTCTTTAGTTATTGTATAAACCTACACTCGGGACGTAAAAATTAGGCCTTCAGCTGCAGAATTCACCATCTACCAACGTCTACATTCAACAAAATCAATGCTCCGGAAAAGTCCATTAGCGGCTTAATTTCCGCTATTTTCGTGGCCTATGTTCTGTGTAACACTCTAGTTGTACGGTCGACCCTATTTTTGAGCTTTTACCCTTCTGACTTAACGTTATCTCCTTAGATTTTCAGTCATTTTTCTAATTATAAAATTGACCTTCTAATTGTTTATCACGTTCTCTCAATGAAATCTCGACTCATTAGCAAACATTTAAGCTCCCTGTTGATAGGGCATAATTAGTTTAGGCTGCAGTGAAGCCTCTTTTCGGTGGTTAAAATTTAATTGATACTAGCTCAAATTAAGCTTATACTTTTTGAAAAACTGTAAATGATGAAATTTACTCATCAAGTCTATTATTACCTCATTGGTTATTAAAATTATTTAATGTGCTCGTAATTAATGCTACCTACGAATTCTAATGGAGGAGGATGCTATTCGTCACAAAATAATATTAGCATGCTATTCGCCACAAAAATAATTGATCATAATCACCAATGGATAAGAACTTTACAGCGATCAGTTGGAACGCTGTTCAACTGTTGAGGTTACGTTGAGCCTCTAAGAACGCTGTGTCGGTTGGCCCAGACATTGCTGCTTGTATCGTAAATATTCCGATTTAAGCCCTCGGATCCTCTTGAGATTTGTAAGTCAAGTAGATCCTCTTGCATGAGCCCCGGGAAAAATGCGTTAGTGGAAGCGCCGCGAGAAATTTAGCCTCCTGATCCAGGGTTTAGGTTTCAGGAGAGCGGAGGGCGTTGTTTGGTGGTCGTCGCTTGGCAATTAGTTTGGTCGGCCATTGAGACTTTTGACGCGAGTTTTTCTTGGAACGAGAGATGAATGAAGTCTTGGCATCATTATTATCATAGATTGCTCGTGGTGTCTGGCCATAACGTTGCCAGACAAGACTCTGCCCTGGCACCGCCTCTGCTGTTGCCGGCCGCTTCGCTGGTCCTCCATCACGCCTGCCTCCCTCAATTACCATCGTCTCCGTCGCCTCGCTCAGCAGCTCCATGGAAACACCAGCTCATCTTACGACAAATTCCACCAGAAATAATGAATTATTTCTAGCTGCCCTAAATGAGGAAGCAGATTTTTTTGTATCTTAGGTCGTGTCATGCGTAATTACGATGAGGATTTTTGTTAACATCAGTGGAAAGCTCTCCTTCCATCTCGATGTTCTTTCATATCAGTTACTAACTTTTTTTTTGAGGGTTGTTCATCTGCACGCATCTCAGCGTGCCATACCAGCTCCTGTCATTTGGGACTTCTCTGTCACGGTAATTCAATTTCATGGATTGTTTGTGGGTTGAAGCTGCAGTCTACTTACCGCGTGACATTGCGACGTCTGTAGGCAGTCCACTTACCGCGTGCATGACATGGCGACGTCTGTAGGCAGTCCACTTACCGCGTGCATGACATGGCGACGTCTGTAGGCAGTCCACTTACCGCGTGCATGACATGGCGACGTCTGTAGACAGTCCACTTACATCGTGACATGGCAACGGCTGTTGGCAGTCCACTTACATCGTGACATGGCAACGGCTGTAGGCAGTCCACTTACTGCGTGACGTATGGACGGCTGTTGGCAGTCTACTTACATCGTGACATGGCGACGGCTGTAGGCAGTCCATTTACCGCGTGACGTATGGACGGCTGTAGGCAGTCCACTTACCAGATGCATGAGCACAAAATATGCCCTAATGAAGCGTGTGGCTGCGGTTTTAAATATCCAGTTATTTCATTCTGATTTAGCCTCGGCCGTATCCCACTTCTGCAGGTGTGTGGAACGCGCCCTATTAGCTGCAGATGGACTCTTACCCACTCTATAACTGCATCACAGGTCTATGAGTGGGTAACTGGCAGCACATCACGGGTCTATGAGTGGGTAACTGGCAGCACATCACGGGTCTATGAGTGGGTAACGGGCAGCATATCACCGGTGTATGAGTGGGTAACGGGCAGCACATCACGGGTCTAAGCGCTGCTCTTTTCGACGAATTTTTCCAAATAAGCGACTTATTTTAATTCATACCGCAATCGTACTGATGCCGCAGCTATACGAGCATTGTACTGATGCCGCAGTTTTGTAAGCAGTTATGGCTGGTAACGACCTAGTGTTCCCTTTGACCTTTGGCTTTTCTTAGGAGCTCGGAGTCGTAATAACCAATGAATGATCAGTAATGAAAGCCTTTATTGCACTTCATAAGAGTGAATCGTTGTAGGAGTTGTTCGAGAAGACGTGTGATTCAGAAGAGTAGCTAAAGCAGACCTTGTGAATCCAAAGCGCTGACGCCAGCAACTTTATGCTATCGGTATTGCAGCTATGAAGGTTTTTTTGATGTCAGTTCAATATGATAAGGATGATTGAGTTAGCTCCCTGCCACAACTGCAGCACTATCATGAGTCTATCGTTAAAAGATGGCTTGTGGCAAACTGCGCTTCTGATCTTTATCGAGCTTTATGGGTCCATCTGTTTTGTCTTCTACTGTAATTTGTCCTGAACTTGTCTTGACAGTAAGTTATGTAACCGTTTACTCTCCGGCTGCATTACGAGTTCATCTTGTGTTGAGTTTCTGCTTGTATAGCAAAATTTCCAGAAATTTGTTTAAATCTTTTTTCGAACGAAAGAGAACAATTTAATCATACAATTATTGATTGCACATAAAGGACACCTCAAATGTGTAGTTGCATGATCTCGTGCCCACGGCAGGTATATATACGAGGCGTGGGGCCCCTGCAGCGTGACGTGCGGTAGCGGCGTGGCTGTGCGCTCTGTCGACTGCAAGATCTTCCTGGAGATCTCCCGTATGGTTGCGGTGCTGCCTGACGACCAGTGCCCAGGGGCGCCGCCCAAGCGCTCTCAGCCGTGCCACATGGCGCCCTGCGAGGTCACCCCCGCCAGGTTAGGGTCAGCTGCTCGTAGAGAGTGTTTTTAGGGGAATCCGTATCCACTACGACCAAGGGATGTACAAAGTTCTATTGTACGTCAGGGATCCTGCCGCTTTCGCTTCAATCAATCGATGTTTTTCAACCAAACATTTTTAGGCTTATGATTTCAATTATGTTACTAAACTAACTTAATTTTTCTGGAGAAATCTTACACAGATATTTATTCGACTAGAAAGTTAGAATTTTTCACGGCGCATTTCTTCTGAAACAAGTTCCAATTAGAGTGCTATTTAACTGTTTATATTCCTCTCGGCCGCGCAGATTCTCTGTCGCTTTACTTAAGAGATAAAATTGTATTGTAATATTTAACATTTTATATTGTGTTATTTTTTAAATAAGGCTACGGAGACAAGCTTCAATTTCATGTTAAATTTATCCCCCGCAGAGTAACCACCGACGACACAAAGAAACCATCCCCTCTCACCAAGAGCGGCGACAAGGAAGGCCGTCATTTACCACCGGGGGAACTTCGGCAGCCTTTCTTCCCGAGCCAACACCTGGACCTGCATGAGCATCGATACCGGGACGGCGAAGACGTTTACGAAGGGCAGCTTAGCGAGAACTCGCGCCGGAGGAAGCTGAAGCAAGAACTGCCGGGCTCGTTCGCTCCCTTCACGCAGTCCTATAACAAGTCCTTCATGATGAAGGCCTCGCCGTGGCACCGCAACCTGGATATTTACGACGTGCCTCTCACTGATGAGTCTGGGGGAGCTAAGGTGAGTCATTGTATTGATACTATTCAGGTGGATGTGTTTTTTTAATATCTTGTTATCAAAGGTAATTTTTACCCCTATGCATTCTGCATTTTACATTTTATTTCACTTGCCTGATAGTAAACTTCCTCGTTAATTATATCTGGGCTCAAATTATGATACTACTTATTTTCCGTATTGATTTCGTTGGACCAAATGCTGCACCTTGTTCTTGACGCCTGGTGTGTGGTGGTTCAGGACGACCTGGACTCGTACGAGGTCGTGTTCGGTGGCCACGACGCCGGGTTTCGGGCGGAGAGCGCCTACAGCATCGGCGGCTACCAGCCCACCACGCCGCGCTCCAGCGGCTACGAGTGGCGCTCTGCCGGCTTCAGCGTGTGCTCCGCCACATGTCTGGGTCTGTCTTCACTGGACTTCGTCTTTAACAAACTTGGTCTTTACTAGAATATGTCTTTAATAAACTCGGTCTTTACTAGAATTAAATTAAGTATCAAAGCTGCTTTGCATAAAATCATATCTGTATATGATTTGCATATCTGATTTACGTATCTTAAATTGCATAGGATTTACATATCTTAAATTTTTGTCTATGTCAATAATTTACTCATTATCAACGGTTACTAGTTCATTAGCACTAGTTACTGGTATGCTTACCTCTTCTCTAGACTTTCCAACTTGACCCAGAATCGTGAATCTTTTTCCTTCTGTTTTTCTATTGAAAAAATTTCATTTCTTATTTAATCATAACTCAGTCACTCTTCCAAAATCCTTTGTGGAATTTCCTTCGCAATCTCTACACGTGTATTATTAATTAATACACGTGTATATATTAATACATAATTATTAATATAAGTACAAACTGCAGGAGGCGTGCAGGAGCTGCTGGTGGAGTGCGTGAGTCGTGAGGACCACCGCGTGGTGTCGCCGGCGCTGTGCCCCCTGGCGTCGCGTCCTGAGGTCATCACGCAGACCTGCAACGACCAGCCCTGCCCCCCTAGATGGCGTCTGGCGCCCTACTCCAACTGCACCAAAGTCTGTGGGGGAGGAGTCAGGGTCAGTTGCTCTATTGTTCACTTACTATAAGTCTTTGGATTAATTTTCTTCTCACTTAAACTTATGACGTATATATAACTTGATATACATTTCTCCTTCCTGGGGCCATACTTTCAAATCTGGCTAAGTGAACGTTAGTACTTACGCTCTATTTTCTTGTCTATGATTGGTGGATACTTTCAAAACTCGCTAAGTGAACGTTAGTACTTACGCTCTATTTTCTTGTCTATGATTGGTGAATTTTGCTTGAAAGCCCGTCAATGATTGGCTGATGAACTTACGATCTCATAAATTTTTTTGAAAGTATAGGCCCTGGTCTCCTAGAAGTAGAAAGTCGATTAAAGGATGATAAAGTAACGCATTTTAAGCCTGCACATGTACGATTCAGACCCGCAAGGTTGAGTGCATCCACGAGATGACGCGAGGAGGCGCCAACACGATGGTGGTGTCTGCACACCTCTGCCCCCAGCCGCAGCCCTCCCAGCAGGAGGCCTGTGGGGGCGCCCCCTGTGACGCCGAGTGGATCCCCCAGCCCTGGTCTAAGGTATTGGTTGTAGTAATGACAGTAATTTAGTTTCTGAGTTGCTGCTGAGTTGGCAGTGTGAGTTCAAGAGATTAAAACGGTTCGTTATTCTCCGTCGCATAATATTTGCGCTTCAAAGTGCTCTATTTTTGTTAGCATCGCAGCTTTGATCAAAGATATCACTCGTCCTAGTCTTTTTTTAAAAAGTTTTCCCGTTGATTATGGTACTAAAGCAACATTTATCAAACGTTGCTATCGTTTTGATGTTTTTAATTTATAATATAAACATTCTTTTTGTATTCACTTAGAATTGTTCGTACAAATAATCGCTCCATACGTTCGTTACCATGCAGTGAATGTTTCGCATGTTTAAAATATTCACTATGAAGCACAATAACATCGAGCAAAATTCCACATTTGATGTTTATTGCTCATTGTAGAGCTTATTTGTAAAGCAGGCAGGCTTGGTCAAATAACTAGTGAAATTTTTGTTAAAATAAAATAAAAATCAAAGAAGTACGGCAACAAAAATAAACATGAGCTGCAAGTAACAACGTCCGGCATTCTTCACTCAGTGCTCGGCGTCATGCGGCGGCGGCGTGAAGACGCGCACGCTGATGTGCCGTCAAGTGGTCGCCGTGGGGCGGGTGCTGGACCAGCCGCCCTACGTGTGCCCTCGTCGCCGTCCTCCTACACGACGCCGCTGCAACAAGCGCAAGTGTCCACTGCAGGAGCTCAGCTTCTGGAGCAACAATGACATCAACAGACGCGTCGGCATAAAGCGCAGGCGCCCTGCCATACGCTCGCAGCCCAACCAGAAATACCTGCAGAAGAAGTACATGAAGAAGGTCAAGCTCAAGGTAAGCGTGCGCTGATATTTCCTGAAATTATGGTATATTTATGAATGAAGCTAGCTTCAGTTTGAAATCCTATAGTGTAATGAATTTTTTTTATGTCCGATTCCTAAGTAGAGGATGGGAAATTTTTCTTAATAAGAAAACTCTGAATTGGAATATCTCGAAAAACCTAACCTGTCGGCCCGCGCACCAAAGCGTTAGAAACACCCTGCGCTGAACTCTACTTCCCGGCTCATTTCAAAATGTAACTAAAAATATCCTTAAACTCGCGTGTCCTCGCGCACTGAGCTAACTAACATAGACGTTAACTCCCGCCGATGGTCAGGTGGGCGGCGAGGCGACGGTGTTCAGAGGCGTCATGGTGAAGGTGAAGTGCCCGGTGCGTCACTTCGACCGGTCGCGCATCACCTGGTGGAAGGACGGACATCGTCTCGGTCTGCGCCCGGAGACCCGCGACGAGGTCTCCAACGAGCATCACGTCCTCGTCACCAAAAAAGGGGCCATCAAGATCAACAAGATCAACTACACTGACAGTGGCGTCTATATCTGTCGGGGTAATCTAGTTGCTTCCATTTTAGGAGTAACTGAAATAATTTTCTTCGTAATTCTACATTTAGCGATGTACGTGATCTCCTCAATTTTCATAAACACAGAAACACAAAGAAAATCGCCATGGATTTTTTTCTAAGGTGTTTATTTAGTTTACAAATTGACCCAAGTTTGCTCTTTCAATGCATTTAAGCTTTATTAGCCCCATTGGTAGATTGTTTTTAGGGAATTCTAGTTCTTTGTTTTATCTTAGATGAAGTAAATTTTTACGAAGAGCCCGTTTAGAGTCTGATTATTGCGGATGTTTCCACCACTGATGAAGATCAAAACCATTAGGACAAAATTTCCTGTTTGCCTTTAATAGCTATAAAACTTAATTATTTATATATTTTAAAAAATTTATTCACCAGCCGGCACTTCTGAAGCCAACTTGACGATCCACGTGAAGCCTCTACCTGCCAGCTTTGCCACGCCCTCTGAACCTGCTCCCCGACCTGACGGCGCCACCCGCGTGTCGGAGATGCAGCAGAACCTCCGCGGTTCAGGGGCCGATGCCCACAACAACTTCCCCCTTGAGGAGGACGACGTGTACGGCTCCGACCCCAGGAGCTTCAATGAAGTGGACGCGGGTCTCAGCTACCCACCGCACCAACCTCAGGAGTCGCCCAAGTATCGAGGTAACGGTCCATATTTGTGTTCAATTATTAGAATAGTTTTTAAAACGAGTGCGAGTTGTCTGAATGTATGCATTCTTAAAGTTAAGAAATTGTCTTTCGTCTTCTTATCCATAGCAACTTTTTACCTCCTTGCAACTTTTTGACATGACAGTGTGGGGTCGAAAAGCTCCTTCAAACCCCACAACTCCTGCCTTCTCGAGCATGGCCACGTCCCGCCGCTCCCGTAACAAGTTCTTGAGTCTTTTAGACCCCATTCGTCCCATAAGACCGTTCCCCACGAGTGCTCCTGAGGCCACGGCTACCATCACGGACGCCACATCCTCGTTTCCTGAGCCCTCGGCTTCAGCCACGCTAGACTTACACGCCGTCCAAGCCACTGCACCTGCGCCTTCTGCCGCACTCATGGGCAAGGTACGCGCCTGTCTTGGTATTCGAAAGCCTAAAGTAATTATTGAATATCAATTTACGGGAGATATGCCAAGTTATATCGGCTTAACCCAAATGGAGCTAATAAGTGTAACATCCCGAGTCTTTTGATGTAGTCTATGCGTAGTTGGCGATGAAATTTCTAGAGAAATCAACGTTATTTTCCTTCATGTGGAGACTTTGTACCTCTTCGGATGCTGAATCAGTTTAGAACCTGAATTAGTGTTGTCATTTTACAGACTTCTAGCAGGAACATCCATACGGTGGAGGAAACAAGCTCAGAAGTTTCGCCTGAGCACAGCAAACAAACTCTCCTCAGCCTGGAGCATCTCACCAACACCAAGAACGATCAGTTTGTAGGGCCACCGCGACAGCAAGTCTCGCACAATCCGTTCCAACTGCTACGTAATGAACGAGTTCGAGAAGAGCCGAAGCATCGCGAACGAAACGGCTTTAGTGTCAATCGGAATTTCTCTCATCGTGAAAATATTATATCTTCCTCGCTGAACAGTTCCTCCGATGGCAATTCCTCCGAGGCCAACAGTTCCTCAGTCCTTGCCAATTCCGGCAGAAGCCGCCAGTACACGTACGCCACCATGACGCGCACGCACGCCACGCCTGGCGGCCGGCGTGGCAATAGTGGCATGTCGCTGCTTACAGAAAAAATTGTTCAATCGCGTCTAAACTCAAAGAAGGTGAGTACATATGCGGGGAGAAATTGCGAGTGCATGTAATAGAATTACGCTTCATCTTAATTTAATATTGTATTGGACATTTTAATTAATGAAGGATTAGCTAGCTGCCGATATTGTAAGCTTTTAGTGTCCATGCTGTATATGTACAAAGGAATTTGCACGGAAGGACGCTTCTAACCCGAGTTGGTTTACAGGCCGTGGAAGACACGCTGGCAGAAGGCAGCCTCCTGATCACCCAGAAGCCCGCTGACGCCGACAGGCCAAGTAATCGTGACGAGGACGACGCCAGTCATCGTCCTGGCAACGTGACCATGACACCTCTGGAGCACGTCTACGGCCGCGTCAACAACCGCAGGTACATAGCTACCACACCCACTGCAATCCTACACTTTACAGCCTACAGCAAACATCATAGGATTATTTGCAGCTTGGGACTTCTTTTCGAGTCGATGCAAGTTGTATCCTTCAAGGTTATGAAAATATTCTCGACTGTGTAGCATTTTGCCAGTTATGATAACTGGTGTACAAAAACTGTAAATATGTTTTCTAAGACCAGGAGAATAACTGCTCTTAGTATACTTGGTATGTGTTTAGGACGTAGCAGTCCCAGGCGGCGCTGTAGCACTTCTTCTCTAGCACCACACATGACGGATCTTTATTACAACCTGTGTTATGAAAAAAGAACTTTGCGCTTGCTTCTACAGTGGGTCTGAAAACGTCTAATATTCTCTTGCTGCGCCTGTAAACGGAACTGTTTTTCTCCTCTTAAAATTTCTTTTTCCAGATTTTCTATCACATGTCATAATAACACAACACAAAATGTTCTGCTTTTAATCATGATTGTTTAAATTAAATTCGTCCATTATCATTAAAATGTGATGTTAATGAGATTTATTTCATCCAAATTTCTAGCGAATATGGAAGATCGGTCTCTACAAACGACGATCACGTTTACGGGTCATTCAGCCATCACCCGAGCCTGCCAGTGTCGGGGGAAGAAAGCCATCCTGATAACGGCACGCGCGACGCTACTAGGCGAACTTCAACTCTCAATAATATAGCAAAGCAAATTGATAGTCCCTGGGATACTTTGAATGGCGAGAAGGAACTTGTTTACGACAGTGTGGACGCTTTTGGAAAGCCAAGTGCCCCTCACAAGCAGCGTAAGATTAGCTTTGCTGAGACTCTGAACAGCGCCATAGACGCGAGCGAGTATGATGGGGACAGTACCGTGGATGAGGTGGCACAGCCCTCAGAGGGCGTGGATGTCTATGACCAGGACATAATTACCGGTCATATTTCAGAACCTAACATGAAATATGCATCAAGCCACACCGCAGGATCGCGCAGCGACGGGGAATTTGCTGAAAATTATAATGCTGGTCCGACAAGGAATGAAGACTCTACTGAAGGTCACAACTCTGGCTTTGGAAGCAGTGAAGACTTTGTTCTTAGTCCTAACTTCGGTTCAACGAGCAGCGCGGGTTTCTCGGTCAGCCCCAACACTGATTCCAAGAGCAATACGAAAATCAGTCAGGAAGTCGAGAACGTCCTAACAACCCCGGCAATTCAGGTGAGCGGTTGAGACGTATATTGATGAACAGCTTAATTTTGAGATCGGGTAGAGTGGTCAACATCACTAAGTTTGGAGCCTTGGGTTACGGGTTCGACCATCAGCTATCTGTAAAAATTCTGAGATATTTAAAATTAGCGAAAGACCAGACTTGGCCTAATCTCCAACGCTGATACTATAGTAGAGTAGGAATGAGAGTAATAAGCGTTTTTTTTTAATTTTACTTGATAGACAGTCGCTGACATTTAAATATAAAATTGTTGCGACACTGATGACATGATCATTGTAATAGCAGGCGACTACTCGATGTAGGCATCACTCATCGTCATTTATTTCAGTTCAATTTATTATATATTTTATTTGCTTTATTACAAGAATGGTTCTCTTGCATGCATTGGCTTTGTTTAAGTGATGCCTTTCATAATTTTATTTCTAAGCTTTGTGTCTTGATCCTGCACGTTCCAAGACGCACATTGAACATGTTAGAAATGTTCGGTGCGCTCCCATATTTTTCTAGCTTGGGTAGCTCGAATTCGGTGCACAGTAAAATTCAGGAAATATGTCGGTGAAGCTGCATTGGTAATAAGGATTAATGAAGATCATTCAAACTGCGGCCCTCAATGTTCCTCACGAAACTGCTTCGTCTTCTCTTTTGATGCTTCTGATTAATTATGAACGTGTTGCTATCTTGCGTTCTTTATGGTGGGCTCTAATTCATTAATTATGTGTGTTTAACAATTTGCTTTACTTTAATAAATTAATTATAAATTTCTAACTCCTATGTTGCGTTGTTTGTTTGGTTTAGTTAAATTATGCATGGCTTATTAGCATTAAATTGTTGATTGTCAAACATACTCAAACCCGAGGTCAAATCCAGCTCTGTTCTGGCGGAGGCCCTGCACGGCTTGCATGGCTGGGGGCCGCTGTAAGAAGCTATACCTCCCTTATAGTCCCAATTCTCTGCTGTTTCTTAGCTTTCTAATTTATATCGAGCAATCTAAACCAAGAGCTCTCTGCATCTCTTCATTGATCAAGTTTCTTACTGCTATTTTCATTGACCAATTCTCTTATTGCTATTTTCGTTGACCAAGTTTCTTACTACTATTTTCATTGACCAAGTTTTTTACTGCTATTTTCATTGACCAAGTTTCTTACTGCTACTTTCATTGACCAAATTTCTTACTGCTAATTTCATTGACCAATTCTCTTATTGCTATTTTCGTTGACCAAGTCTCTTGCTGCTGATTTCATTGACCAAGTCTGTTGCTGGCTATAAACATAGACTTTTGAATGCAGCTTTATTTATTTATTTAGCTGATCATCTATAACATTTTTTGGCAAAATTATTACTAATTCGAAATCAAAATGGCCAAAATGTCTCAACGCAACATTGCCAACATTGCACGCAATATTATCAGAAAATACAACTAGTTCTTGGCGGTTAAAAGATTAACGCAAAAAATTTCACGTTTACTGAGCCTAAATCTCTGTGCTGTTATTATTAAATCTCAAACCGAGTTATTATGAGTAGTAACATTAAAGAAACATCACACCATAATGTTTGCTCTCACACTTGGGTCTTGTGATCCACTATGAACAAAACTTGTGATTTTCAACTCACAAACTAAACTCATTCGTTATCATTAACGGATTACATATGCTTTGCTTAACCAGTTTGTTATTAGACAAACTAAATACACTTTATCTTAACAACAATGATACATGCTATGTTTAGCTACTTTGTGTTTAGACAAAATAAATACACTCTTGCCACTTGACAAACTACATGCTTCGTTTTGATAATTTTTAGTACCAAAAATTTGAATAGGCAGTGCCGTGTGTCTTCGTATCACAGCGCCAATTGACCTCGGCCAATTGACCTTCGTCAATTGACCTTCGTCAATTGACCTTCGTCAATTGACCTTCGTCAATTAATCTGCTAGTATAATGTTCCGCTTTGGCTAATTATACACTGTACTTACAACGGCTTACTGAGTTAATTAACTGAGTAATTTTGAATATTAAAATTAGGAAAAAATTAATTTTCAGCCACGGAAAAGCCCTCTCGCGTCCATTCAGATCACATCATTCATAACAGGAAGCTTTCCTCAGACCTTACACGCGTGTCTTGGGTAACGCCGTGTGAACAGGCTTGCTTGACATGACGTGTGTAAAATTTTGTTTGACTTTAACGACGTGTGTATAAAATTGTATGACGTCACGACGTGTGTACAATCTTCTTTGACGTAAATCCGTATATATGTATACACCCTTGTTTGGCATGACATGTGTACAATGTAAACTCTTGTTTGACGTAACGCCGAGTGCTCGGATGTTTCACATTCCTCACTTGACTTGTTCTCCTGCACTTCTGACGGCCTCACCTTCTTCCTCCTCCCTCCACGTGCTGCCATGCAGCCCTGGTTCGGTGCAGCCCCATGGGGCTACTCAGATTCCTGGGGAAGCTTCACCCCCTCTCTTCAGCACTCATTCTCTTCCCCACACACTGTGCATCCTCTCTCCCCCAACCTGGAGTTCTCTGAGCCCCACACCCTCCATGCCCCTTGGCCTGCTGAGCCCCCCAACAGCATCACGTCTGGAGGCAGCCGCTCCCTGCCTTACCTGCAGCGACTCTTGTCGCGCTCCAGGGTGAGTTCTGCTCCAGCTGGTTTAGCTCCAGGTTTTTTCTGCTCCAAGCGAGTCCTACTCCGGGTGCGTGCTCTTTGGGTGAGTCCTGCTCCAGGTTCGTAGTGCTTTGGGTGAGCTCTGCTCCAGATGGGAACTGCCCCAAGATAAGTGAGGACATTCACAGCAAATGGAGTGCACTTCAAGAAATTTTCTTCCAGCTAGGGAGAGGCTCGCTGGTCCCAAGCACGTGCCTGTATAGTGTATAGTCGCTATTTTCCATGGACGTAGTCACATTATGCGGTTGTGCTGCTTCTTCTTTATAGAGAGAGAGAGAATGCTTCTTAATGCAACCTATTAATATCCATGCAACTGTTAATTAGTATGTACATACTAATTTTGTGCCATTACATAAGTAACAATATTTATTTCGTATTATAAATTAGCTGGCCCAAAACCTGATTGCCTACAATCATTGCGATACCGCACGCATGATGAGTTTTTCAAAACAAGCTGCATGAATTTATTTTTTATTGAATCTTGTTTTTAGAATGAGAAGATACGCCCAATTGATCGACCGTAAGTATGCACCTTATCTGCAAATGACATCTTAATTAAAACTATGAATCTCAGGCATGAAGATACGGCCTCCGTATGTATACATCGCTGTAAGAGTACCTATATGAGCATGTTGTCCTGGGAATGATGTTTGGATATTTATGTAAATACACGCCTTTTTGAATGTGTGATAAATATTGACGTCATTATCTAAAATATCTGATAATTTTTTATTCTTTGCCTGCTTTTATTTTTTCTTGCTCTCGTTATTTTGATTATTATCATTTGTTTGTACTTGGTTGTTTTTTCTTTAGTAAGTATATACTTATGATCTACGCTTGCGGTTTGCGTGTAAATTTCCTTGTTATTTACTTTTTATCCCTGCATTGAATGGTTAACTCTCCCCTTCCGATAGTGTGTAGGGGAGGTTCTTTTGTGTAGGTTCTTTTCCCTCTGCCGCTTCAGGCAGTTCCCCGTAGGTTGGGCTTGCTGTTAAGTGCCAGTTTTAATTGTATTATTTCTGTTAATGGCTGGATTATTATTCTGTATTATTCTAAGTATTATTTGTCACAAAATAAATGCATCACCATCTTTATTTGCAACGGAAACTTTGGTATCTTGGCTTTCATTATCTTTGTGCTATGGCTGTAGAAATTATTTTGCACGCTGAAGGTCCAGAGAAGTGCCTGCTCTAATAAAACATAAAATAATTTAATATATAATGAATTAATATAATTAATGGCAAGCGTAGAATTCAAGTCAGCGGGATTTTAAAAATATTGACTAATATGTTCCACTTGTTTACTAATAACATTCTCGTATAAACGTCTGTGTGAAAGTTGACCCCCCATCAGGATGAAGGACCATCTCGAGGCGGCCGCCATGCCGAGCACAGCCCCGCGGCCCCCGTCTTTTCATCACACCCTGAAGCTGATGGCCTCTTCGGCAAGCCCGAGTTTCTCGGCAAAGGTTCGTTCCTTCCTGCACAATATACAAGTATTATTTTTAGAATTTCAGAAATTTCAAAATTTATCTGATTTTTTGTCTGTAAGTACCTCGTGCGCTAATAATCGAAATGAATATTATCGAGGTTATGATCGTGAAGGCATAAAATGAGGGGAATGTAAAAAGATTTACGAAGCGTAATTTCCACACATGCCTTATTTTTTTCATCTTTAACTACCGTGTATGCTAATAATCTAAATAAATATTATCACCTATGATTGTGAAGTAATAGTATGAGGGAGTGTGAGAAGATTAATAAAGTGTTGCATGGGCAGCGACATCGCGGGACAGTCTTGCGTTCGAGTGGCAGATCACGAACTGGTCCGAGTGCTCCCAGACCTGCGGCTACTCCGGCTCCCCGGGGGGCTTCCAGGTATATAGTGAACAACTATTAATGCTTATTATACAGCAACAAATGCTAAGTAACTAGAATTCCTGCTACAGGATACCAAAACAATGAACAATAAATTGCAGCGTTTGGGGCTTCTTTCTTGCAGTTATTTGCATTGAATTTTTTGTTGATTGTTAAGTAGACGTAACGTAGTTAAGTAAAAAACGGTCACGTTTGTTCTTTTCGTCTTCACTTTTAAATATAATTTAAAGGTAATAATATGCCATTATTTTAGCATTATTTCAAGTTTTTTTATAGATATCTACATTATATATAATTAAAAACAGCATTGACTGTTTGAATCAAGTCTATATTAGACCATCTAAGATATTAGATTTATCGGATTATTTATTATCAAATGATGAAATTGGGACTGAGGTTCGAGGCCCAAACCATTAAACTATTATTATTTATATTTAACCAATGTAAGGTTGTCGGCTCAAATTATATTGAAGATGGAAATAGAGGTATGGGACCGATGGACAATATTATTGCTGGCTATAGAGATGATAATTCTGTGAATACTGCGTCAAAGCTCATGTATCGTGTTACTGCAGGTGCTGTAAAGCAGCCTTGTCACTATATTGTTAGCATCATCAATTTAGACGAATAGAAGTGCTTGTTAGTTGAACTGTCACTGCCACCCACACGCGGTATGGGATCTACTTTTCATTTTTTTCCTTTTTATTTTCAATGTCGTTTTCCTGGCTGGAATTGCGATGGAGGGGGAGGGAGACTTTGGTAATACCTTTTGCATTAGTCAGCTGCAAAAGTCAAAGACGTATTCTAAAAGTGCAGTGAACTCACCGCCCAGAACTATTGATACATTCAATTAATTATAGCTTTACTGCCTAAGACAACCGAGAGCCTAACACAATTATTCCTAACGACCTAAAATACATTCAAACAAAAAGAAAAAAATTGTCATGCACCTTAAAACAAAAAGACAAAACGCGTATATAAATGAAAATGAAAAAAATTCTTGTTAAAAAAACGAAAAAGTCTTTACATCTGTACAGCTGTTGGTTTCATTCACTAAGCCGATATCGCTCTATATAAACATTAATTCACACATGACGTCACGGCAGGTGCGCTCGACGCAGTGCCTCGTGCGGGTTGGTAACGTCACGAAGCCTGCGGACGCTCAGCTCTGTGAGGACGCTGGGCTCACACCGCCCCCCACCATCCAGGACTGCGGGCTGCAGGAGTGTCCCCAGTGGGCGGTAGGGCCTTGGAGCACCTGTAGGACCTCGCGGTGCTTCACGCTGCACTACGGTAAATTTCATTAAGCATTTCAAGTCACGTATCATTTGTTGTTCTAGGTTTCTGTATAGCGATGTATAATCTAAAAAAAACTGTTGAAGAATTACAGTAGAATAAAATCATATTATCGATATCTAGATTAGCTATAGTCCAAATAAAAAAATATAGTCTTATTTGAAATGTAAAATAATTACGAGCATATTAAATAAAGCGACTATTGAACATTTCTGTTGTAACTATCGTATTAACAGAGATTTTTCATCATAATTCGTTGAGATAAGGTTATCTAAGACTAGACGAGTAATAGTGCTGCGTTCTCAGCTCACCAGCGCCGGAAGGTGACGTGCGAGACGCACTCCGGCACCGCTACGTCGCCCAGTCAGTGCGACAAGGTCACCAAGCCTCGTCACCGCCGCGAGTGCTACAACGTCGACTGTGTGGGCGTCTGGCGTACCGGCGACTGGTCTCAGGTCCGTTATCTCACCTTCATCTTTATCATTATAACATTCATCTGTATTATTTTAACATTCATCTGTAATATTTTAACATGCATCTGTAATGTTTCAGCAGAAACCTGCCTTATCTAAGCATTAATCTGTGATATTTTTGCATTCATTTGCATTTTAATTTTTTTCTGAGGTATGGGATCTCCTTTTCATCGGTATCCACGTTATTGGTGTTCTATGAAAACTTAATCTATGCAAGAGTGATTTTGGTTCACTCTTAATTCATTTCCACAGAGCAGGCAAGGAATAGCTGTTTATATGCATATGAAGGTACGACTTGAACATTTCAGTTTATTCACAGTAGCTAGTTTCTTTTAGAAAATTATAAAAGAAATGAAAAAGTTGAAACATTTAATATCTCACGCTCCTAATTCAGCATTTATATAAAAATTGACAAATATATAGAACTGTGCCTGTAAGTGCGTGGCGTGTGTGCAGTGCATGGCGCCCTGCGGTGGCCAGGGTTACCGCACGCGTCTGCTGCAGTGCGTGTGGAACGGCACGCGCTCGGCGGCCGGTAACGCGTGTCGGGACCAGAAGCGTCCCGAGGTGGTGCGCTGGTGCGACGCCCCGCCCTGCGCTGCCTCGCCCTCCGCCGTCCCCAGTACGTTGTAGGCGACGCTCGTCCATCACCGCGTCGTCAAATGTCCTGCTGCAGGTTGGCCGTGCTCGGTTGTGCGCTCCTACGCACGCGTCTTGTGGTGCCCGGGTTGCTGTAGCTTTTATAACTAATATTCCGCACCGATAATTAAGATTTCAACTTTGTTGTGCTTGCACAAAAATTTCTTACAGAAAATTTTATCGCTGTTCAAAACTTTCATCAAAGGCACTTGTTGCAACGCTGTACATACAACAAACCCGGTAGCAACTAATGCATTTTCCCACTTAAATATGGCTACACTTCATAGATGAGGTGCTGGAAAATGTAACTGCACAGAAAAAACATTAATGCCTGGCGCACTCACAAAAGTCGTATAATTTTGCTCGCATTATGGTTGTAAGTGGACTAACAATAGCATGAGTTGAAATTACAACGCACTATTAACCATAAATTATTTCCATAAACTTGTGGATCACCTACAACTCTCGTCGACGAGTGCTCTGCAATCTCGAGTGAGTCTTGCTATCTTACCCTACCAGCCTACACACTTCAAGGTCTTTAAACCATCCCATGACATGAGTGCTTCGCTGCTCTAACCGTCGAGTTAATATTAACAAATTTCACGGGCACTCTACTTCCGAAATCTGCTTAATTTTTCCATTGAGCCTTTGAGACCCTTCCTCGCATTTGATGTGTCGCTATTTTTTCAGTAGAATGCAACTATGTTAAAAGAGCTTTTGAGTTTTTACGTTGAAAAATTACTAGCGGTTTTGCAGTCCAGCCATGATGGATACCGCCATCGGTATCCACGTTATTTATTATATGTTAACTCTATTTAGGCATTGCCCCAGCAGCACTCTATCAACATAACAACTCTCCCCGCCAAACTCTGTTAACCTGATTTCTTCCTCGAGTCTCTCTTGATCACATTTCTTTGACTCGAGTACTGTATTTATATAAAGTCTACCGATAAATCAACAATACTTCACTTTGCATGCCCAAGCACTTGCAATTAACTTTCTTGTATTATTGCCTTATGGCGCATTTTACTAATTGAAATTGAATTCATCGCTGGATTAACTAAATCTTGTTTAAAACTCTTTCACCACTTCTAGTTTGTCTGGTTTTTACAACCGCACGAAGTGGCCGCCCTTGCTGTAAAAATTTGGGGCAAGATTAAAAAGAGTGCATTTCATCAAAGAAATTCTGCGTCAATTTCAATTGAATGCCACCAGTCAGTAAACAACAAACCTATCAGTAAAATCAAATACTTTTCAGTTGATGGTTAATGAAGAAATTGGCCGCTCCTCTACACTGATTTTTTTATACTCATCTTGCGAATTTATTTACCTTTTTACAAACAATTTTAACAATTTTATTTCATTTTTAATAAGAATAACTAAATCTTTTGGCCAGATGGAGACGGCCCTGGAAGTTCGAAGGACCGGGAGAATTGCACGGACCGCAGCCGCTACTGCAATATCGTCCGTCGCATGAACATGTGTCGCGTGCAGCATTACAGAGAACTTTGCTGCAACTCCTGCCCCTGATAACCCTTCTTATGGATCACACCTTCACTAGCAATAGTTCTGTCAATAAGCTTAGCTATGTGTAATTCTACTGCGTTTGCTGTGCACTTCGTCACTGGATCAAGTGGAATATTTTTACCGTGCTTATTTTTCCACTGCGTATGAATTTATTATATTTGTGTGTACGTTGATACTCGATTGGTGTTTGCATGAAGTGCGGTGTCCTGGAGCGCCCTGTAGACGACAATGTGCTCAGCGTGAATTTCTGCCATCAAGTTGTCACGAAAGTACGACTGAAGTTGAGAAGTTGGAGTACGAATAGGCTTAAGTTATTCTTATTAATGTTTATATATGACTTTTGTTTCAAGTGCCATTAATTTAGTTGAAATTTTATTCTAATTAGTTAGCTTGAGGTTCTCGCGTCTTCGCGTCAATACTGCAGACTTGAGCTCCACTCAGTTATGTTAACGTTGATAGCTGAAACAGTTAGTGTCGCTCGTTCTCTTCTAAGTGGCTCTAGATCCCTCGTCTTTTTTATTTTTGAAGACTTTTCCATGTTCTCGGTTATTTTCCTCCCAAAAGCTATTCACATCATGACTATATAGTGCAAGGATTACTTATTTTGTAGCGGGTAAAATATATTATTTAAAATTTTGTATCTGTTACGATGTATCTTGAACATACTGAAAGATTCTACGATAGTCGTAAACTATACGATGAACGAAAACTTGCTCGTTTCCTATTGATTAGTTCTAAAGCGTTGAGAGATTGGCGAGCGGTTTACTACATCGCATCCCGTGTCATGAGAATAATGCTCCACGAGCTGTGCATATGTCGCATGTAAAGTTTGTACAGGCTTCCTTGATTTATTTTAAGTCTAACTGAATGTAGCTTTATTTGCAATAAGTACCATGTTTTATTGAATTTAAGTTTTTTTCGCGTTCAAGTCACAATCTGAGCTTCAACAGAAATTTTGAAAAATATGACTTTAACTCCGTGGAATTCAGGGAACAACTGTCATGCTTCGTAGTTGTGTTATTGTATGACTGTATGTCATATTTTACTTTCCTTTCAGATTTGTTGATTGAGGCATCAAAATTTTGCTCATTTTAATATGTATATTTTGGTGTTTTAACACGAATTGATAGTAATGTTTTGTTGGCCAGGAAATCTGCAGAGGCTTTTTATTCCATTTCCTTGCTTGTTAAGCGACTGCGTAAACGATAAGATTTGAGGCTTGAACAATTGTTTACTACCCGAGTAGAGGCTTGCACAATTGTTTACTACCCGAGTAGAGGCTTGCACAATTGTTTAAGACCTGAGTCGTGGCTTGTACAATTGTTTACGACCTGAGTCGTGGCTTGTACAATTGTTTACGACCTGAGTCGTGGCTTGAACATCGTACAATCTTTTACCGCTCGAGTCGAGTCCAGTACAATTGTTCGACAATTTTTTCATTGTGTTTTCCATGACGAATGCCATGCTTAATTTATGTGGATCACGAAACAATGACGCCTTATTTAAAGACTAAACTGGGAGATAGTTAAACCTCATTAGGCGATGAAGTAACGCGCTGTGGACGAATAGACTCGCGTTGTTCATGACATATTGTGATGCTTGAGCCATGCGTTTTCTACGAAAGCTACGAACGAGTTGACATTTTTCAGGCTATGGTTTAGTGTTTCTTCCTTCATTTGTCAACGTGCTTTTTGGATATTCAAAGTGATGAGGGTTAACTAAACATAATTAATGTACTTCTAAATTGGAAGCGTAAAACTATTCCACTACATCACAAAAAGACCGAAAAACCAATTTCAAATGTGACGTCACTATTCGACTTTTTAATTATACAATTTTGTCGTGTTATTTCATCTAGGACTAATTGTGCAGATTTCCCGGATGCTGCGACAAATATTCTATGTAATAGCCTTACGATAAACCTAGAGCAATACATATGCAAAATATCTCCAATGAAAGTACGCAGAATATGAATTTTACCTGTGATGACTACATGTCGAGTAAACTCCGAGTATTTCCAAAAAAAAATTCTCAGTTCGAAGTTCGTTCTCTTTTACACTTGAGTGGCTCGTTTCCTAAGGGTCTGTGTGAAATTTCAGCACAGTTGGCTCATCGTTGCCTTCTTGTACGTCTTCGAGTGGGCTTCATGGCATCTCATCATACGAGACATTTTATGATTAACTCATTTCATGTTTGGGACATTTCATCATTTATCAATTTAACCTAACCTAACCTGCATCTACTTATGTTTGCAAAATGCACTTCATGCATTGATGAAATTTTATGGTGAATTGATACAATAATGAAATGTCCCAACGATAAATTGGTATAGTGATCAAATGTCTTGTACGAAGAGGTGTCTGGCCACTCTTTGAGGAACGGTGTTTCTTGGACGCGTGGTAGCACTTCTTTGAATCGTCCTCATATCTCAGTTCTTAATGTGTGTTTGGCCGTAAGGGTTGTGCTTCGTGTTACGAGTCCTTATAAGCTTTAGCCGTTAGTTAAAATTAAGGCTATTGGGATCAAGAAGTATCTTTTCCTTGCATGTTCTGCACTCGAGTTGCCGTTAACCTCTGCCTTTATTTTATGTGGAAGGATGGGATCATTATTATTATCTAGTACCCAGACTAGGCTAGTAACCTAGTTTGAAGCCACTGATCTGGCTTCTGGCATAGGTACTTCATCTACCGTCAACACACGAGACGCCACTCAGCAGCTACTGCTCATAACTCGCCGCTCGTCAATGAAATTATTTAATGCTGGTCAGTAGAGCGATTTGAATTATTATGGGGTTTGTGGGTTAAATACCACATAATAATTAAAGCTGTTGCCTGTTTAGATCTTACTGAAAAGGTGAGTCTCAGTTTTGTTCCTTATATGTATAGATTGCTTTTATTGAAAGCTGGCAAGAGAAGAGTGTGGCGGCACACATGGCGATGACGTTAGCCTGACACCTAACCACGCTTGATCTTTCCTTTGTTCTTCAAGGGTGAAATGTTTTCTTCATTCAGTTATTGTCTCGTTTTTTGCGAATTACAAGCAAATAGCAATGATGATGATAATAAATATCGCCATAAAGATGTTTGACATAATTACTCACTGCACTATCTTATCAAAAAGGAATATGATTTATTAGGTACAGAAGCAAAGCAGGCCATGGGGCTTACCAAGTAACCCTTCATGGCCATTGGGGGAAAATTTGTTCCGTCACTTGTTCTGGAGCACATGATACGTTGCAAAGTACGAAACTGTGAAGAGTAACTGATAATCAAGTTGTATCCATTCTTTGAGTATCTATTGTAGGGCTTGTTGGACGGTAGCTCTTTAACTTTCTTCACTGCTGCTAATTTTTTCTTCTGTGATTCCGGCTCATGTTACTGCTTACGAACATCGTTCCGGCGTCTCGAAGTTGTTTCGGGCGCCGGAGACACGTTCCCGTTGTAATGAATCTTTCTGAACTCGACTGAATTTTGTCTTGAGTGCCTTCTATATTGACCCAAGTTTAAGACTAGTTCTCAATTAGCAGCTATTGTTTCGTATATTTAACAAATGCTTGTTAAATATTGCGAGCCTTGATTTCGTCTAACTACGGGATTTCGATGTGCTCGATGATGATGAGTCGCTAGTGCATCACATTTTCCCCCCGACACTACGTCCTCTTCAGGTTGCTGTTCATCTGATTGCGTTGGTTATGGACTTCTGCTTTCAGTCCAATGCTCGGTACCATATCTTTGTACCTAAAACCGTGCGTGGAAAAAAAAAAGTTAAATGCGATCTTTGGCTTAAATTGATCGCATGGAGCGGATTAGGTAACGTTTAATAGTCTCTGGGACGGTAGCACTGTGAATTTGTTGACACCTAATCACGACCTCTTCATTATGATTCACTTGCCAAATTTTAATCCCCATTCAGTAGACTTTGATAATCTATTATGGTTATTTTTAGCTCATGTTTTGATGGAATTTCCGTGTTTGCTTTATTATCTCAAAATTTAATTTTATCCATGTCTAAACTTAGCGAAAGAATTTAGGACAGATACATTGAACGATTTGAAATGTAATGTCGGCGGACCGTCGACCAGTGTCATTATGACCCTACTAATATGAGCTAGTCACGTGGACAAACGTTCCTGCTCTAATAAAGTGAATTAAAGGTGTGGGAAACCACGGAAATCTTGATGTTACATCACTGATTATTGCGATGACCATAACAATTTCGGGAACGTGTATTCGAAATAAAACTTGCAGTATTATCCATGTACAGTTCCATTTTTTTTAAATTGGACAGAAGGTTCTTATATTTTCTGATCACAAATTCTCACTTGCCACATCTAATTCGATGTGTTGCAAGATTGTTGCCACATCGATGTTCGTTTTTTTGTGTGTGAAGGCGCAACAACCTCGCTGTCTCCTATAATTCACTTAACGTTTTATTCACTTGAATTTTGTTATACTGAACAGGTAATTTATCACCGGTATTTTGCCGAAATAATATCATTACTATATGTAATTGTGATGAATTTTTCAGTTATGCGTATACTTTAAGGTTTACAGAATTCCATTAGTTATATTTGAAATCTCCCTTGCAATATAGACTGTATCTGCGGCTGTGCATTACAGCGACGGATTTATTTATTCCGAACGCGTAACATGTGATCTGAAAGTTTCGTTTCTTAATTTTTTTTCAATAATTTGGAAATTGAGATTGAAAAACGATCCGACCACAGCACATAATTAAGAAGCTGGAATATTTCACCGCATTATTGCATGCATTATCGACGTTTAATTTGCTCCTGTTATTGAATGGTGGTTCTTAGACTTAGTATCGTTACATCCATGCAATAATATGTGCCGTCGTCGAATGGTAGTCAGGACAAGGTTTCTAAAGCAATTTCCTTACAGTATTACGATTTACCGTTTCATTCAATGTTAGTATGAATGTCCACATGTCCTCGTTTTCTGTGCAACAGTTTTCTAATGATTTGCTACGGTATATCTGTTCGTTCGTGATTAATTTCAGGTAACCTTAATAATATAAATAAATATTTCTGGGTCCTCGTCCCGTCCACAAAAGGTGGATATAAAACTAGGTCACTCGCACGCGTATTTTCTTCTACAGTTTGCATGTCTCGAATCTTCCAACACTCTCAGATGATCGACTCGACTGCTCGACAGAAAAGCAAGCAACCACGTGCACTGCTGCCTCAAGAGTTGTTCCATGGCTGGGCGTCGTATCGTTTTCTGCAGTCAACACTCTCATGGGTGGTATTCAAGATGACAGAAGATTGTAGTGTATGTAATACTTTACCACAGCTCTCTTACGAACACTAGTATGTCTGAATTCAAGAAACTGGAGAAAAACAAGCAGTTCTTTGCCTTACGACATCGGCATGAAAATCGGATCTGCATATGTACATCTTCTTCTGTTCTTCATGTGCCAAGTCGGTTGTTGGTCTTCCAGGCTACAGCTGACGTCATGGTCACATTGAAGTAGATTCATGCACCGTTACAGGAACACGTCAATAAAGGTTATCCTCACCAAATTTGTCAGTCGTTCAGGTTCGATGGTTGTGTAAATAGCGACCTTCTAAGTCAAGTTGTACAGATAATACCAATAGAATAGTCACCCGGACTAGATTGTCTTTCTTTTTCCTAGATGTTTATTCAACAAGGTCATAATAATTTCGGCTATGTCTTAATGTATTATTCAATTTTATTGCCACTACGATGGTTAAAAGAGCCAACGATACTATTTAAGATTTATTTATCTACTCAAACATGAGTAGCGCAGATACATAAGAAAAAATGCGCTAATAATGCTAGGTAACTTCCTATGTCCAGAATTCAATTTTAAATTAATGAACTATAGTTTGAAATTTTTACAGTATCATTCAATGAGAATTCATGGCTCTGTCTGTGCCTCAAAGGCTCAAACTAACTAATCCCAGGTTAACAATGAGCAAAGACTTGTGAGCTACTTTAAATACAGCTAATTGCCAACCACACTTCGTTCTCTCTAAAAATCTCACTATTCAGTCGCAATTAATAATAACGAAGAAGTTCATACAATTAAGAATTGTGTTCAGTTGTTTCAATAAAGTCTTCACCTATGTGCCTAAAAAGTTGTCACCATTACGTAGCTTGTTTGCAGCAGCAAATTTCCCATGTTTTTGCGTCATTAATGGATACTACACAACCTCAGAGATCATTGAATTACAACAAAGTTCGTTCATTAGGAAGACTGCGCAGTCCAGTCACGCTCGCGCACCGTCGCGAGGTACGGCGACCCAGAGATGTTGCGCTCGTCCCAGGTCAGGTGGATAGTGTAGAGTCCTGCCACAGAGACCGTGTAGCGCACCTGTCCGGTGACAGGTACACAGGTGAAATAGGATCGTATTAAGCTATCGCTGAAATTATTAGTGATAATTTGGCTAGCAATACTGACGAAGTTCGCGCGAGTGTAGTTAACTTTAGACTTGGCCCCTTTGCAGGTGTAATAAGATGAAAATTGTATTCGAATTTTCTACTTGATCTAATGACTCGACTGGAATTCATTTTATTGGCACTCGAACTTTAGGAGCAAAAATACACCAACCTCTGATGTGAACTCGCATAAAGGATACAAACATTAACCACGCCTAAGCATGTGAGCAGAATGGTATGTCAGACCTATGAGGCTATGAATTCATATAGTAAAGAATACAATACACCCGTCAACCAAGTTTAGGCTTGTGAGCAGATTGGTATGTCGGATCTATGAACTATGTCGTGAAGAATACACTTATTAAATGAGTTTAGGCGTGAGAGCAGAATGGTATGTCAGACCTGCAATGTATCAGCAGTTTCGTCTGTCGCGAAGATGGCAGTGCTGGTGACGGCATCTTGATGTGGCCCGACGACATGAACACCGAGCTGCGAAACTTACAAACTTCAGTTCAGAAAGTCGGTTTCATTTTGTATAAAATTAAATGAATATAAATTTCCAAGCATGTATTTTATAGGATGGATATTTTACGGAGTGAGACAGCCAGAATTTCAATAACACGTACCAAACTACTGTAAACCCGACAGAATTACCTCTCCATACTCAGCTTGTGAAGTGTCCAGCTCGAAAACGTTCTCCTCTCCCACAACGCCACGCATGAGCCCTCCACCGTAAGCCCTCACCTTGTTAGCTTGGCAGGAATCCCATTCGAGGGGAAATGCTTCAGCTTCCTCGTTTAGTTTTATAATATTTTCCTCATTAGGCGCACCTGTGTCGAGAGTGCCTGCACTTTCTGCACCGCCACTGAGTTCGTTTGACGTGGAATTCTCTTCTCGAACATCGGTAGCGACGTTGGGCGCCATAGAATCATTTGTTTTTCCATAGTCAGCTTTGACAAGTGATGAAGTAAATACATCTGAAGTATTATCGGAAGCTTCTAAAGAATCTTCTCTCACCCTCCATTTTCGATTTATGGTTTTCAAAGAGCCATCTTTGGTCTCCAAAGATTCGACTTTGATATCCGAAGAACTTTTTTTAATTTGCCCATCTATGTGGTTTATCTTCAATGGAGAATTGTTTGGCATACTAGAAGAGTCGTTGAGGCCGAACACAATGGAATCGTTGCGGATATCACTACGGTCATCTGGGATGATTTCGGTCGAATTTAGATCATATTTTGATTCGTTTTGAGGACTTGTGTTGCTATTAAACATGTCACTATCTTTTGAATAAATATCATAGATAGCGATTTTCTCCAACATCGGAGCTATCTCTGCTGAATTCTGCTCGGTCTTTGGGCAGTTGTCTCCAGCTTTACAATTTCCAAAGTTATCTTCATTCATAATATAAGTGTTAGTATCTTCTGTTAAGTTCAATTTATACCGAGAATCATTAAAAATTGTGAGCGAAATTGGCTCTTCAGTTTGAAAGGTCTCTTTGAAATTCAATTGTATAGAATCGTTCCTCGAGGCACTCTTTTCAATGGTTGATGCAGGATGGAAAGAGCTGGAGTATTTCCTGCAGTCTTCCTTAGATTCTGCATTTGTCGTACACTCGCGTGAGCTGCTTTTGCATGCTATGGTATCCCAAGTGACGGCCTCGCTTGACGCACATGATGTTATTTTAGTAACCTGCAAATGGAAAACTTTTATGAAAGCGTTTACAAACAAAAATAAAGTAGCTGATAATGAAAACCATTTGAGTCTTAATGTTCTCATCATTCAATTCATACCTCTTCCGTTTCCATTGAAGTCCTATCTTCTTCGTCATATTTTGAACCAGTAAATGGAGGCAGAGAAGTTGAACCTACAGTAGTAACGGCTACAGACTGCAAACTTTCTTTGATGGACCGGTTATAATTCCGGTCCAATCTTTTATCCTCCTCTAATGGATCAAATTTTTTTGCCGTCTTGCCTTTGTCTGTAAGGGAGTTTTGCTCTCTGTCGAATCTTTCGAAGTTGTGAGGTTTTCCGATGCATTGGCCGTCTGAATAAAAAGTTGAAAATTAAAAAGAGAGGTGAAAACAGTTTAGAAATAATTTCCATATGAATGTTCGAATTTTACGCGATATTTAGACATATATATCAAAGACCTCTTGCTATCAAAGAAAAAAGTTGACAAATAATCGTGCTAGTCAATTAAAAGATCAGTTCCTGCTCACCGGCACTGGATGAGTTGATTTGAGACGCTTGTCCCAGATATGAATCCGAACTCGTCTGAAACTCGGATGGATTCTGCAAAATCACTTGTCCATCGATTGTGTCATGGATCACGTAAACACTTGATTTTGTTTTTGGATGATGAAGTCTGTTCTCATTTGTCCAGGATTTTTTGAGATTCTGGTCTTCATATTTTCCAAGTCGGTCTTTGAAAGATAAAAATGCGAGATCATCTTCTGTTGTATCTGAATAGTAAGCATTAGTTTTAGTGCTCCGTGGATTGTATTTCATCGCTTCATCTGCTAGGTTGAAAGCAGACTCAAACTCCCTGCAATTTTTTGACACCGTACCTCTTGTTATACCGTCATTTTCATCACTGTTGCTCAGATTAACACGGCGATTTTGTGTGCAATGATATGCAATCATCGGATCGACAACTGCGTAAACTTCTTTAATGGAATACAATGACTCGGCAAGTTCAGGTGAATGATTGGCAACAGGCAAAGCAGCGTTCCTCCGCGTAGCATTCGATCCCTTTTCATATTGTTTTGATGTTTCGCGGACGATTCCGGATTTTATTGCTACGCTTAATTGGCGCTTTGCTGGCTTGCCGATTTTGCCTGAACTTTTCTCGTGTTTCTTCTTATCTCTTAATTGAATGCCTCGGTTGGACGATTTCAAATTATCCGACGAAGTTCCGTTACCGGTACTTCTGTAAACATTGATGAGGTGCCTGACAGTCCCGGATTTAATTGAAATACTGATATTTCTTCTTACTTTAGGTAAACTCGGCTCCTCATACCAGCGCGAGTCATCAACTTCTTCATATTGATGCTTGCCGAAAACGCAAGGTGCTCTTATTTCAACGTTATCTGCGTAATTTTCTGGATGTATCTCTTTGCTAAGAAAATTATCCCAGTATACTTTTTTCTCGTTGACCAGCGTCTTGGTAGGATTTTGCTCTAGCTTTCTCGGTTCGTACCTAGCATCAGCCATTTTATTTTGGCGAGAAGTTGAAGTTTCATCGAGGGCTTCATTATTAAACTGTCGCAACTCTTCCTGGTAATAAGCATTTCGTGTGGGCGCATCTTCGGCGTCTGAAACAGAAATAGGAGCCAATGCTTTGACCATAGAATTGTCATCGCCTGGCTTCTTCAAATTCACCCGAATCTGTAGATCCGGCGCTGAAGCTTTCTCATCTAAAACCGGGTCTGAAGCGTTCATCTCTCTACGCTTCCACAGCGATGTCCCCTGCCAGACGGTGCCCTTAGGTATCGTGATGCTCGGTTGACGGCGGACGAAGGTTCGAGGGACAAGGTTATTCCTGCTGGCGGTCTCGATGAGCTCCTTGCTGGAGTGCGTACACACAAGCTCGCTGGGGTCATTGGCTTGGTCCTCGCGTCCAGCAGCTGACAACTGTTGCCCACACTTCCTTAGGTCTAAAGATGTCACCTTGATCTCGTTTGATTTTGAACTTGCTTTTTCGAGTCGATTGATGGGGTTTTCTGGTAAGGAAAATCTTGTTGAATTAAAAAGCCCCTGCCCATAAGAAATTATTCCATCAGATTCTGTTTCTTGTTGACGCGTTGACGTCAACTCGTTCACGCTTTGGGAAGAAGTTGCTTCATTTTTATCCATTGGATCACTTTCTCTCAATGACTTTTCGATGAGCTTATTCCTGATGTTTCGATTTTTACTGATCGTTCCGTGTGATAAAGAGACTTGTGAAGTAGAAAATTCACAGCTTGCATTACTCAAATGTAATGGCGAAGACGACTTTTGATGCCCATCCATCGCTTGAGTTCGATTGATATCAAGTAAAAATGAGATGTTCGCACATCACTTGCTTTAAGAACGTTTCCAAAAGCATGTAAAATTATTACATTAACTCGCTTTATTTTATGTTTGCAATTATTTACCAAACAGCTCTACTGAAAACTAAGTGAAACCAAACAGATAATATGATGCACTCCCGTTGCTATGAGCTCGAAATGTCAACTGGCCGCTGGAGAAGCCGTACGACTGAAGCCACACTGCGACTGGAGACTTAGTTCGCATGCTCAAAGGCACGTGTTCGACATGGAAACAAAGACAGTCCTCGGTGACGCCTTTTGTGGATTAAAGCCTCGCTGAATGTTTGAGAACTTTGAAGGAGTTGAACTATTACTCAATTTTCGTTGCGGGTACAATCAGCTTCACATAACATAATTCAAAATCGCACGAAAACATTTCTCATTTCATGAGAACGATTTAAAAAAGGTTTAAAATATCGTAAATTGTAATAATTGATTCTATTAAAACTACAAAGGAATCATAATAAAATAAGTGCACAGATATCTAATTGCTAGCATTGGAAGTGAACTCACAACATAGTTGGCTTCTTGACTACTCTGTTGTCAAGTTGGTCGTTGCCGACGACTTTCAATTTGGCTGGGATAGAATCACTCACGAGGTCTCGGAAAATTTCTCTTTTGTGTATTCCAACATCATTGAACGAAAATAGGCCTTGAAAATTATCACGGTTGTTTACAACAGTGACATATCTTCTCAAGTATTCATAATTACTCTTACTAACGAGGTGCAGAATCCTTGTATAATTCATTGTTGGAGTTGTGGCACTGATACACTCTATCCCTTCGCCAGTAAATGTATTGCAATTTCTAACGTTTTCATCGTTGGGAGCTTCATTTTCTGTTGAATCTTCAGGAATATTTCGCAATGATAAGCGCACCTGTTTTGAGGGCTTCTCAATTTTGGGTTTGACATTATCTTCTTGAAGAACGTCCTCTTCATCTGTGTCGCCGCTGTCGTCGCTTCCAGATGAGGTCATTCTTGCTCTTTCGTCATCACTGCCGTAGTCACTCAAATCTTCGTCACTTTCTGACGAATTTGTAACGAATTCTTTTTCTAAACTTTTTCTTAAATCATCGAAAGCAACATCACTCATGAAGTCTTTGATTGAGTTCCACCTGCAAAGTCTCTCGCGAACGAATTCCTCACACTCTTCACTCTGAGCATCATTCATACAGGTGGTTTCGTTACACAAATTTGATGACTCTGGGCTTCCTCTCCTCTGATGCGCAGTGTTTGACACTTCACTTCGAGTATCTATGAGAAGTTCAGCAGTCTTTTCAACCACTTCATCAGGACTTGATACTTTTTTGGCAATGCATGACGCATCAATTGAGATTTTATTGGCAGAAAAACCTTCGCCCTCTTCGTTTTCATTACTCGCATTTTCAGCTTCATTTTCATGTTCGGAATTAGGTTTTGTTAAGTACTCATCTACTGAAGATGACCCTGTTTTAGTTGAATTCGAAGATTTTTCTGAATTCGCAGATAATATCAGTTCTTTCCTAGGCAGAAGTGAATTATCTATATCGCTAACAAACAGCGATGCTTCAATGTCAAGAGAAACGTAATTTTTTTCTGCTATTGATTGAAGGGGCTCGATTTCTACCGTTAAAAACTCTGACTTTGCTTCTCTTACGACGGGTTGACCTCCGGCTGACGTAGAATAGGTAGAAATTGTTCCCGATGTTGAAGTAGCTTTTTCTATTTCCTCGAAATTCAAAGAGGGGGTTGAATTTGCATTCACTGAAAGTCCTGGCGTTTCCTTTGGTAATTCGGGCCTGTTCGAGTGCGCTTGATCACCTTTGATCGTCGGCACAATTTGCATTCCAGTCTCCACAGATGAAATTTCGCCTGATGTGCTCGAAACTTTCTCGTCACTCCTGTACAGATTTTTGCAAATAATTTCTTCACGTTCAACGGAAACATTTTTATCGTTATCTATGGCTGTAAGTATCGGGACATAACTAAGAACTGGTACAATACCCTGATGATTTCCATTCAAGTTCTCATTGCAACTTAACGAATTATAGTTGACATCACATTTCTTATTGATTTCATTTGAATTAGACAAGGTTCTATTTGTATCAGACTTTAACATATTGTCGTTCGATTCGTTGGAATATTGAACGTTTCGTTTCGTGCTCACTAAAATCAAACTGGAGTCATCACTGGAGCATGGGAGCCCCGTGGGCAAAGAATTTTCCGTGGTTATCAGTTCATCATAGCTGGTACCGTCCAAATTTATGGGTTTTGATAGACTTATTTTGTTATTATAAATTTCAGTTGAAGTTAAATCCATTTTGCCCTCAGTTTTCAGTCCATTGTCTCGAGCTAACGCCCCCTTGACGACTCCATTGATTCGTGACTTTGCTTGGAGAATTTCCAAAAAGGTAGTAGCTTCGTTGTTGTGATTCAACAAATTCGAATTTTTGCAGAATGAAACGTGTGAAGAGTTAACGGCCAATGTTTGGTTAGTATTGACAGCGGAAGGTTCGGTAATAATTCTAGCCGCACCACGTTCATCATCGCTTCCATACTTGATGAACTTCTTCAGTCGTGGAGATCGTTGAGATTTAGAGCTGCGTATACTATCATTTTCGAAAAGATTTCGGAAGAAACTTACTTTCTCTTTAACTGTTGAATGCAGATTAGGAGTTCCAGCAAATGTAGAATATGGTTGCATCTTGAATCCAAGTTCATTGGAAACTGTTGAGTTTTGTTTTGGATCATGCACTGCTTGCTCTGCAAGACTTTTCGAGCTTTGGTAGGTGGGTTGGTTTTTACTTTCGATAAACGCCTCACTACCTGTCTCTCGACTGTTAACAGAGATCTTCTCTTCCTCATTTCCCTCCCGTTTAATTATTCGAGACCCATGGGCTTTTCTAGATTCACTTACAAAAGTTGATTTGTCCCTAAAATCTGGCAATTTTGGAGGGTTGCTTAGTTTAGAAATTGCTATATTATTACCAACAATGTTTCCATGCCGAATTGTATCGTTGGATTTGAATTTTGAATCCGTGCATTGCAGGGCAGGCAGTGCATCGGGCATCATTTGCCCAGTTACCTTAGAATTCGCGCTCATGTTGATGTTGGGCAAAGATGAAATTCTCCCAAGCGATGACGTAGGACAAAAATTGAGTTTGGAGCGTTGAAGGCGCGAGATTTCACTAATGGTGAGGTGTTCGAACATATTTTTGATGGAATCCACCGTTGGGTTTGTGCTTTCCTTACTACTAAAGTTGCTTATGACGTCACTTCGGCGGACGCTATCCAGTTCCTTTGACAACAAATTCTTCTGCCATTCTCGGTCTTGTTTGCGATCTGAGCCAACATTCGTATTTCCCCCTTCAAATTTTGCGATAAGGTTACTACAATAGTAGCTTTCAGATGTTAGGTTTTCCACACTTTTGTAAGATTCTCGGTTAGCACGAGACGCCAGGTTTATCGTCGAGTCTTGGCTTTGCTTTTGACTCCATGTGTAGGGTTTGAACGGACGAATCATATCACGAGATGCATCAGCTTTTAATAATATCGAGTTAAAAAATTCTTGTTTGGATCGAAGAAGATGATTTTGATCTGTTGTGCTGCAGTGCGGCTTTGGTTGACGAATAACTTCATCTAAACCATGATTGACGCTTGCTTCGCGGTCGCCAGAACCTGGCGACAACGTTGCAATAAAATCCCGTGTAGCACTAATCATGTGTAACTTCGGGCTAACGCAAGGCAAGTTGAGTAACCTAGGCTTGTTGTTCTGTTGGGAAATTTCTTTGAATCTTTGATGACCGTTAGGTAGTTGCTTGTAACCTAAACTGCTGCTTGGATACAGAATTGTCTTGTGATGTGAACTCTTGTCCAAAAATATTCCGTCCCTATCTGTACTGGCTGGCTTTGACATCATTCTGCTGCAAATTTCATCTTTCAAAGTCTTAGAAACTAACAGTCGCGTAAGCCTTTAGGTAAACGTTTCCCCCTTGCATTATCATCTATAGTCGTTGTCAAAAGCCGAAGATTCAACACATTAACCATAATCCGGTTGGCCAAGGTTTCACCTACGAACTAAGAAGCACGAGCTACTAATTATTAGCCTGAAACAAAATCCAAGAGTAAAAGAACTCTCACTGCATTAAACCGACTACAATAAGCATAAATATTAGGCGGCAGTCGAAACACAATAACAACTATAGATAATAAGTCAAAACGCCATCTGATGCATGGATAAATTGAAATTGTTGGTGATTTCAAATCACAGTCTGTAGAAGGGGCAATATAGTTCTACTTCATTTTCAAGCACATGTAAAGTTCGTCACGACACTTCAACACCAGCTAGATAGACTAGAGTTGGGAGGAAAGACTTTCAAAACAGAGACCACAACACAGGTAAGGTTTCTCTAGCGGGCTAGCCAAGACAGAGCTTCATTCCAAGTTAGGGATGACTTCAGCCCTTCAATGGCTTCTTTAGAGTCTAACGCACTCTGTTTCAGCTTTGATTGTTGATGTAAGAGAACTTGGATAATTAAGTTACCATAAAACAGGACTGCATTATAAAACCGAAGTGGATATTGTCGCCAGTGAATTTTCAGAAATTATCAAAAAAACGAAGAATATTTTGAAGGATATTACCGGTACACTAATGACGTGTAATAATTGCCTTAGTCGATACATTTAGTCAATAAATTCTGTAAAGCAAAAAAAAACTCAACAGGCTTTCCAGTCTCTCGTCCATGCAGTCAATTTTTAGCCAACAACGTTAAAGAAAAGCCATAACATGGTAATATTTTGATAATCCGGCTCCTGCAGACCGCCCACTTGCTAACAGCAGAGGTTGACCTGCAGTAGATACCCTTGACTAAAATTAACATAGACCAGGCAATAAGTCCAGCAGCTATCTCAATCAATCGTCAGTTATGGAAAGATCGGGTTCAAAAGGCCGGATCCCTTGTGAATCAAGTCACGAAAAATTCAAGAATCGGCAACAGGCCATGGGCCTATTTCTTCAGTGCCGACATTTCTATTCTATTCTATAGAGATGCTGCGCACACTTCGTGCACACGAAGTTGTAATGACACCAATGAATGACAAAATAGAATATACCACAAGTGTTAGTTGAACACTCAAACTGCGACAAGACAATTGAATTGACTTCATAAGGGCTTGTATTTTTGGAAGTAGAAGCCTGTAACATATATATATTTGTGATTATTAACAACTCACACTACGCACTTGCATACGTTCGTAATAAATCGGTATTACACGAAAAATGAGGCATAAATAATTTCTTTCTTAAGTCTTTTATGATGATGATGCATAAGCCTTAATTTATGGAAACATTAAATCTGCATAATTTTTTTTTACAGATTGACTGTCGGCCGCCAATATGGCGAGGCACCAGAGGGCGTGCCTGGTGTGGGACCCTGGGGGGGGCAAGTCCCTGACGGGGATCGACGGCCCGGAAATGGAAATGGAAACATTAAATAAAGAAATACGTAGACCACTAAGGTTCGCTAATGTACGGTCACTGTCACTTCACACATATAATTTTTTTTATCGTTAAAACGCAGGGTGAGCAAATTGTCAGAAGGAAAATATTGAGAAAGAGCACAAGAATACATTTTACATTTTCATGAGCTGCCAATGTCCTGAAATGAAAAGTAATATTTTTGCTCATGTGCTATATACAAGTCTACTCGCTATTATATTGTCACACGCGCTCGCAGTAAAGAGAAAATTATAAAAATTGTCGCGTTGGGAACTTCGAAAATTGGTCGAAATTTTAGTCTAGGGGGTTAAATCGTTAAAACCTTCCGTTTGATGTACTGAGTTTAGAACGCTTGACGCCTAGAGTAGAAACGACTAGTTCATTTATGTTTCGAACATTGGCGGATGAAGATTGATTTGATGATTGATGTAGCAAAATTAATGTAATATTTGACTCATAACCGCAATATTAGTTTAAATCTCGTAAAAACCTCCTGGAATTTTTTTTTAGTGCTACACAGTGTGATAATCGAGCGCATCGAATGCAATTTAATAAGGGAGTCAATTTTTAAAATGCAAACATATGTTGCCTCACAAATGACTTCACTTAATTATAACGCATATACAATTGACATGACTCATGCACATCAAAGATGAAAACAATGAAATTGACCTTTAATTGAATGTTAAGGAGGAAGATCATTTAGATATACTGTAGATCACAAATTGGAAGTAACTTGTTAGAGTTATGAGCGGTTAGCTGTCACAGGCTTCGCTGTAAAAGACCGTGATGAAGCTGGCTAAGTTACATTTAAGGTGTTAGTGGCTCGAAAGAGCAACCTTAAATTTATATTAGCATTGATCGAGTGACTTTGGAGAAAAATACAAAATAATATTTATTAAAAAAAATATTTACAAAAATATTTACAAAATAATATTTAATAGGCATTAATGAGATGTAGCAAAATAGATTCTTCCATAAACTGGCCTATCCAGGCCTATTCTTCAATGCCGAAGATACTATACTATACTATGACTTCATTCGATTGCACTTTGTTCGCAGCCGCGGTAGTAAACGTAAAATGCGACCCCAATAATTTGATTAAATATCATAAATATGTAGATCAACCGTAATTGTTGATGATTTATCCAACCTTCAAATATAACTAATGACAATTTGCCATTGGTTTTGTCCTTGTTTTCAGTCAAAATAGGAAAAAAGGAAATTCTAATGCAGTGGTGGCTGTACCTTGTTTGAACCAACTGTTTAACCATGCATTAAATAAAAGTTCCCTCCGCTGCTCCACTTCCTCCCCTCGCTTAACTTGCTTTTATTTTTCTCCTTCCTATATCAAAAGCAAATAAATCTAATCTAACATTTGCAAATTTTAAATCTCTTGAAATTTACCATTTTCGTTGCATGGACGCCATGACTGCTCGTTACATTGTCGTTTAAGTTTTTTACTATAGTATCGTAGCAGTCAATCGGTCAATCCATGCTGAATTGCGGACCATGCTTGCTTCATTTATGGTCTTCCGGTCAAGTTGAGCGGTTGTACGCTTGTAAGTTGTACCTATATCTATTTGAGCCTCTTGGCATGGCTGACAGCCTGAATGACACTTACACGTGCTTGTGTTGTGGGTTGTAAGGTAAGATATCGTAGCACATTTTCTCCATTCATGCTCTTAGTCCGTTAGTTGTAGACTCGTAGTATTGCCTGATACCTGGAGCGTCAGCCGTCGGCGACTCGGCGTCAGGCACTCAGGCGCTGTGTCAGTGTGTAGCCTAGGCAGTAGGTAGGTACTCAACTAGGGTGCGCAGCCGTAGACCAGCAAATTAACGCTCAAATCAGCCCTGGAGCCAACATCAACCATCTAAATGCTATAGATATTGTCATCCTGGCACCTAAGCAGCTGTAGTCAATTGACCTATCTCACCACACGAACTTTAAACCAACACTGCTTCAGCACACAAGCTGCTACTCCACAAAGTTAACGGTCAATACGTTGTTCTCCAATGCTTTATAACCCATACCATCACTTCTAACACATGCTGTTATCCTAAGTGTCCGCTGACCACACTGCATTGTCGCAAATGTGAACTGTACCAAACGGTAATGCGTCATCACCTTACTTAATCCGCAAGACGTTAACCCCGCGTCACTGTTTCTCTACCTTACTATCCCCCAGCATCTTTTTCCCCCCACAGGCCCACACTTACCCCGACTCTCCACCATTATCGCATGAATAACTGGAGGCTTTTCTCGCAGACCTCTTATGCTTATCCGAATTAGGTTAGGTTGAGTTAGGCAGAGTGGAATTCTAGAAATGGAGGTTTACTTATAAATAAGCTTTCCACCAAAGGTGGAATGCTTTCCTTTGATACAGTGCTCTGCATGGTGGCAATCCATAGGTTATTCAAAAGAACCTGTTCTTTTGTCATTTTGAACCGATCAACGCTTTTTTACGGACCGATCGTAAAACACACCTTCTGTGACCTTCACCGGCAAAAGCTTTTGCACTTCTGAAGAAAGTCAGATGAGAAAATGTTGCTCAATGGGTTAGTCCAGTCGTAAATGAGACTTTCGTTATTCCCTTCCTACCCCCACCCCGCTGAGCCGGACCGGTCGATGCTCTTGCAAACGCATAAGTACTCACAATAATTCCCTGCCACCATGGTGCTCTGCCAGGTGACTGACTAATGACTATAAATGAAAAGGACAAACTGTTTCAATTGGATAGTACCTCAGATTTGTTACAAAATTGTTTGAATGTCTCTTGTTTGATAGATATTATCTATTTTTCTTTTATTCAATGGACTTTTTGAAATTTTTACAGGCTTTTTCTTTGTAATGATCAAGTTTCTGTTAAGTATTTAGTTAACCAGACTTGGACCAGTACTGTAGTACATATACCATATTTGGGGGCGGGGCTTATGGGCACAACCAATCACAGCTTGAAAGCATCTCCATCAACCAATCACAGCTTGAAAGCATCCCCATCAACCAATCACAGCTTGAAAGCATCCCCAGCAACCAATCACAGCTAGAAAGCAGATAACATTACAATTCCATTAACCAATCACAGCTGGAATGCTGGAAGGGGGCTAGAATCACAATCCCATAAACCAATCAGTTGAAAAGTGATAGGATATGTAAATGTATATAATGAAATTGACTGGAAGTGGAAAGTTCCTGGACTTTCCAAGCTTTCAGGTCCTGCTTTCCAATATGCTATGTGAACTGGTTAATTTAATATCCCTCTAGAATTCCACGCTGGCTCAGTTAGGTTAGGTTAGTTTACAACTCCTATAGATCCTCTTTTCATAGCGTAATGCAGTCAAGTGAGCAGAAACTAAGAATAGCCGTCCGGCAGTCAGTGAAAAGAGGCGGGGAGACGGGGTATGCGTGGAGGTAGAGTTATGCCGGGGGAAAACAGCTGCGACGAACGGACGGGCTGGAGTGCTGGCTGTGTATCAACAGCGGTATGGCGTAGGGAGTTGCTTACCGAAAATCGTGATTAGGTTAGATGGCATGGGATGCATGGGATAGAGCTGTTGGACGGTTTTCAATACGGCGTAGAGCGATTGTATTGGTGGCTTACTTCTCATTAGCTCGCTGGTTAATTTCCATGAAGGGTATTTGTACTATTGGCTTTTAACATATAATCCCTTAGTCTACTCTGCCCTTTAGCAGGCTTACGCACGGAAAGGAGGATGAAAGATATGCTGATCTTGGGCAATGCTGGCCTCTGGCATGCATCCCCTCAACTAGGTACTAGGCCTAGCCACCTTATCGCCTAGGCCTACTTACTACTGAAGCCCTGGATATTATGCAGTCCTGCACCAATCTCTTATCTCTATCTGTTTGGATACTTCTTGGAGGAGGCAGCTTTTGCAGAAACATTCAACATCCCTTTAAGGCTAAAGGCTGTAGTGTACCAGACTACCAGTTAGGCAGTTACCAGTATGGAAGTACCATAAATCCATAATGGCAATTGACAAAGCAGAGGATTTGTAGACTACCTATTCCTCATGTTTGGTTACAAGTTTTTTAAGTAGACCAGAGAGTAATCAGTAAAGTACCGTCTGCATCAAATGTGGTAATAAGGGTCTTAACTCTTAAGGCCAATGGGCAGAGACTCAGAGTAAATCAGGACAGTCCTCCATCATGGCATAAAAATGTTATAGCAGCAAAACTAGTTGAAATATTGCAATACTGAAAATAGTAGCTTAAACTTAGACATTTTTTCTATTGATGTAGCATAAAGAAAGTTGAGAAATCATACATTTAATTGCTCTAAAAAATCCATGTTAAAAATGTTGAAAAGTGATTTTCTAATAATAATTATGTAATTATATAGAATTTTATAAAAACAAAAAATTGAAGCATAACCTATTTTAAGTCTAGAATTAAGTATAGAATTTAGGACTTGATTCTCTTCTAAAATAAAGTTGAAACTTGAAACTAGGTATTACATATTCCAGTCACATATGCATAGGCCTAGGCTATGCATATGTTCAGGTAGCTATGCAGCATAGCTACCTCATTGATGAATTTGTAATTTGAAGTACAATATGTGAGTAAATTAGTATGTTTGGAATCAGAATGTAATAGGGTAAATGCGGTATATTCTGACACATTAAGGACGCATCGAGAAATGAAAAACTATAAAAAAATAACCTTATGCATTACTCAAGTTCTGTTTGCTTTATGTGACTCGCAAAACAGCGTACTACGTGCCAGCAATGATGAAACGTCACAAAATGTTGCCATATTTATTTAAAAGCCTTTAGAATGCAAACCTACCAAATCCCTATATTCCGACACTGTGTGTGGCAATATTCGGCACGTGGCAAGGCGTATTCCATCCGCGCTTCAAATTTTACTGATACGTAATGCCGTCATCCGCGTGTTTGAATTCCGTTTGCTCTGTGAGCTGTATTGGAAAACAACACGGCTTTGAATTAGAACACTAATGAATATTGAACACTACTTAATTACGCTTTTAATTAACAACTATTAAGCTTTTTATTGAGAAAATTTTTATTTTTGCTACATAGCTTGCAACAATCTGTGTGTGTCCAATTCAAGTTGTGACAGAATTAATTTTCATGTGTCTAAATCCATTTCTCAACTTAATCATCTATTAATTTATTTACCACTTGAAATCAGCGAATACAAGTATACTTAAAGGATTCCTAATATGTTCACAGACGTATTTAAAAGTCTCAAACCATAATATTCTTCCTATACAAACAGTTATTTGTTATTTACTATATTGGTAGAGCAAGGTCAACTGTCAAATTTGACACATTTTTCGATGATCTCACTGGGTAGTGTGCATTGTCTCTCTTTGGATCTCAATATTTTCCCGCTAGATGGCCAAGACCTAGTGTTTTGGCAGTAGTTCAACGCGCAAATGTGTGACGTCATCATTTCAACCATCAACGAACGCATGGAACTAAATTAAAGCTTAATATAAAGGAAAAACTAGAGAGGTGATGGAATAACCCACGATGTTGGAATATACCACGTTTACCCTACCATTATTACAGCTTATTCATTTCCATTTGTCTCTCTTAGAAAGATTATTTGAGCTTATTTTCCTATTGTAGAATGAAAAGTAAGAATATGTCTTAGGATTAGGAGACATGTCACATGTCCACTCATGTTCTTTGATGATTTTCAATGCATGCTGCTTTTGAGCTACCGGTAGGCACTGCTAGGTGGTAGTGTTGGATTTGTTAAATTTGATAAATTGAATTTGTTATTTTCTTAAGATATTAAAAAAATTAAGATTCTATGTTATTGAAAATTTATTTTGTTTATTTAATACATTTAGCCATTGGAAGTAACTAAATTTTGCAACATCGATTTAAAAATTATTTCTTTTTCAGAAACTAATCATAGTTTGAAATGTCTCGAATCACAAAAATGAAGTATGTTACTGCAGAAACCAAGATGGACTATGAGCTGCCTACTCCAAAACAAACTATATGTACCATCATCAAAGTTCTGGGCAACAGCACCTACTTGGTAAGATTGCTAATAATTTTATGTTTTTTACTCTAAATTTGTTATAGGGAGTGATGAGATGTTAGTGTACATTCCCAGGTTCCCTAAATGCAGTTGTAAAAAGTGGCTTCAAATGGAAGGAAAATGTACATATCTGATAGAAAACCTGTTTCAATAGAAACTTGGTCATTTATAATTTTTAATTCTTCACTTAACCCTGTTGTGGTCAAGTTACCCTGTATGGTCACTTGAAATCTCCTTTCAAAAGAGCCCACCTTGTCCTATAGTTTTTGTTTGAGGCTATGTTATCATGTCTCTGGCAATCTTCAGTCATCCATCCACACATACCTAGCTTCACCATAGGATTCAGGAATTAAAATATGAGCATCTGAAGAAAGGTCTGGGTTGAATGATGAAGTTAATGATTTTTCTGCATTTTTTAAATAGTCAGAAAAAGCAATATCAATTAAATTACTGTAGAGAAGCTTGAGAAAATCAAATCAAATTGAATCTTGATAGTTTCCCTTGCATTTGAATAAATAAATTTTTAAAATTCATCTTCTTTCAGCATAGTGACTGCTTTTTATAGAATTTTCATCTGAAAATTACTTCAATATCTTGAAAAATCCATATGGATAAATTTATCTTATCTTCATATTTTCTCAAAGTTGCTCCAAAAATTCCAACCTTGACATATATCTATGCTTGCCCGCAAAAGGGTTAAGGGGATCATTTTGGCAAAAATAAAAAAATTTGGAGTTTCCAGTTTTAGGCTCAGTTTAAAGGTCCAAAAACTATGCATTTAAAGAGCCCTCTCAATGTTGTAGCACATAAAATCATAAATTGAATGAGAAGATAGATTTTTTACAGTATAGTATACTATTTTTGAGGGTATACTGAGTATACCCTCAAAATAACCCCCTTTATGCCATTGTCTAGGAATTGCACATTTTTTTCAAAAATTAAAAAAAAATCCGATTTCTGTTGTACCTATGTGTACCAAGTTTTAAAATGATCTGCCTGTAAATAAAAAAGTTTTTAGGCATAATGCTTCCCAAAAAAAGAACAATTTTTAATACTGTAGATATCTCCCTTCATTGTTACAGCATTGTTCTCAGCTTAATACTATCATAGATAACTTCTATTGATAAATTCATGTATGTAACAAGAAAAATTGAATTGAGTTGACATGTTTTGAGACATAAATTACTAAAGTAATTAATAACATTGACTTTTCCTATTATTGATGATGGTTAAAAGGAATTAAAATTGTAATAGTTAGATGAAAAGATTAGTGAAACAAATTCCAAAATTAAAAAAAAAAAAGAATTTTGAGATTTCTATACCAAAGCCAATTTTCTTGGAGTGTTGCTACAGTTTCTAAAATTCTACTGAAGAATAAATGTAATAGGTATATGAAAGAACTTATAGAAGTTAAATCAATAGATGTTTTTGTTGTTTGCACCAACAGTCTGAATAACAGGAGGAAAGCATTGAAGTCAGAATTTCCTAAATCCTTAAATAATGAAATATTCCAGTCAATCTATTAATGGAATGGAGGTCATTTAAACCTGTAGTCAGACCTCGGCATGACTCACCTGCCAAGCTTGTAGTGGTATATTCATCAAGTACAGTCACCAAACCTCCCAGAAGGCACAGTATATTCACATAAAAATGACAGGATTTCACAAGGCATCATGTGCATCTAATACTTCATCATTGGTCACCTTAAATTGCAAGCATAAATCATGTTAGAAAAGTAATGTACAAAAACACTACCTAATATTTTTATCATAAATTTGTTATGACATTTTTTTCACAATTGTCAATATTTAATTCTTACTATCCTCCTACCCACTCAACCTCCATACATCTCCAGGTATCTTTTTGCACTGTCAATTGCTATGACTTACTCCCAACAAAACAGACAATCTCTACAATCCATTTCTCACATTTTACCTCATACCCCATGTCTTTAATTTTGCCTTCAATCAGAATCGCCTTCATCATAACTTATCAATCTCCTATAACTCGCATTCTAACTCAGGTGCTCCACTATTGTCTTCTTACTCCATGGTATTCTTCTATTTTTAGGCAACTTCATCGATTTACATTGTAGGAATCATTACAGTCTTTCAGTTTATAAATTATCTCATATTGATACTGTTGTCCGGCTTATGTGCACAGAACTCGGTGGTGATGTGATAATTTTATTTACAGGTGGCTACTCCTGATGGAGAAGAGTTCATTGCGTCTATGCCTGCCAAATTCCGTCGACATGTATACGTGAGACGACGTAGCTTTGTTGTGATTGAGCCCATCCCTGAAGGGAAGAAGGTCAAGGGAGAAATAGTTCGCATCCTACAACGAAATCAAATAAAGCATTTTCATCAGGCTGGGGTCTGGCCAGAGGCATTCAACTCCACTGTTTATATTGACAACACGTTTGCATCACAGAAGAAGTATAGACTTACGAACGAAAGCGACCGCGGGGTAGTGCACGGCGATAAGTACTTCTTCATGGATGGTGAAAATTGCAGGCCGGTAATGAGGAAGAAGGACCAAGATGATGTTGACGGTGATATGCCATCTCTTGGAGAGCTCAGACTTGGAGTTAGTTCAGGCATTGAGCCTAACTATAACAAAAAGGCTGTCACGCGCATGATCTTCCCGGATGAAGAAGAGAATGACAGTGAAAGTGACGATGAAGAGGAAAGTGACGATTGTGATGAGGAATGTGATGACGACGATGATGATGAGGAAAGTGACGATGATAATGAGGAAACTGACGATGATGATGAGGAGGAAAATGCAGATGAGAACAATGAAGATGAAGAGGAAAGTGTAAATAATGAAGAAAGTGGAGCTGAAGAAGCAAGAAGACGTAGTGAACTAAGAGATGATGAAAATAGTGGAAAAAATATTACAGTTGAAGATGATGGGAGCAAAATCCACTTGACTGTCAAAGAATCCCGTGTAAAAAATGTAAATAAAGCTATAGTTTTAGACAAAGAAACAACATGTGATGACAATAAGGGTATAGACAATAACTTCAGATAACCACAGCACACCCTGTGGTCAATGTTATTCTATTCACTTTGTTAGAAATCAATCACAATACGGGTGCTTTCCAACGGTTGCTATATATCTCACGAAGTTTCCAGTGTGGGAGATTGTTTACTCAAATTTTTGGGGCGCACGTCGAATATGATCGTCGTGGGCGGCGTCGCTCGCACCTTCATAAATTTCCGTCTTATTAATCAAGGTTTGAAAATTCATTGGTTACCTACTACTTGACGTTGGTGTTTTATGTTATGTCAATTAGTTTAATGTTTTTTTGTGCACCTTATATCTAAAATTTCATGTTGCAGACCATTCTGTGGTATAGGTATCGATGTCGTCGTCATTCCATTTTACACCGGACCCATTATTTCATTAGGGCTATTGTTCAAACGGTATTGCAAGTTTGTCAGCATTTTTTAACCATCTCACCAAGCTCATTGTCATGTTCATTTATTTCAAATCAGTTTTTTGGGTGAGGTTGCCCTAATTTTTAACTCGTTTTACATCTTCAAAATGTATGGTTATATCAAATGATTGAATATAAATTAATTGAAAAAATGTCGCTCAAATCCACTCGAGAAAATATCTTCTTTGTTTGTCCAGTGGTACACTAGCAGAAGGAAAGTTATGAATTTTTTCGAGCCACATTAAGATTTACTGGGCTGATAATATATTGTTGCACCGGAGGAAGATGTTACTACTAAAGGAGGTAGAAGTGTTACTATAGGTACTTTTTATCAGTAATTTTGATACCTCGTAACCTCTGGGAGGTACTGGCGTGCACGTTAGTACTTAAGGGTGTTTGCGTACCCTGGGGCCCGAGCTTTGATGAAGTGCCTAGTCATTTGCAAATATATGCATCAATTCACAGTTCTTGATAATTATTTTGAAAACTAGAGTTTCCTGTCTGTTGTTAGTTGAGACGAGTGTTTAATATCCAGTTCTAACTACTCGTACTTCTGAAGGTAGGGTGTCAGAAGATATGCGCACACAATAGTTCCTGCTTCGTAACTCATTACGGATGTGAATGAAACCAAAGTTATTACTTCAGATAAGAGAGATGATTCACTGGAACGGATATGGCTAAAGGTTGTAAATAATTATTGATTATTAATTCAAGCTCGGAAATTAATTTGAATTGATTTAATTCGAGTTCAGCATCTTTTTTGCAAGCCAAAGTGAATATTTTATTTATGATCGCCTTGAACGTGAATATGTAATCCTATACCGTTAAGCTGCGCGGGATCTTTAATGTTCCAAGGAGAAACAATATCTATGGCACAGCTTCTTGTCTATATAGATGCTTGGCTTCGTTTAGGCTGTAGAAAGATCCAGAAGAATGTTCACTATTTGACTGATTTTACTTTTATAGACTGACGAATATTAATATATTCAGGTAATATATACATATATATTTCCAAGTTCCAATCACTTTATATAGTATTCCAAATTTGAAGCTAAGGTAGCGCAAAGACTGATGCTAGCTAAGAAACCCTGCACAAGTGTTAAAATTAATTTTTAGCTTCTTGGTGCTTCGATATTTAATATATAGCGAGTTTTCCGAAAGTGGCGACTTATGTGGCATTGACGGTAAGGAAATCGTTTAACTGTATTAGGAAACTCTCAATGCCATGTTAACATCCATTACGTTTCAAGGGAAAATACTGAGTTTGATGTGCATTTCTAAAACTTCGGTACTCGTTGCAGGGTTTCGAACCATGTTGCATGTACAACATTGTTGTAAGCGCATGCGCAGGACGACTCTTTCAGCCACTTTGTTACTGGCTTCTTGTAAGCGCCAGTCTAGAGTAGCTTTTTCTGCGTCAAGTTCCGTTCAGGCTCCAGATGACGGCAAATGTTTTGTGACTACACCCATTTTCTACGTCAATGCCGCCCCACATCTCGGACATCTCTACAGTGCCATTATTGCCGACGCTATCCAGCGCTACAAGAAAATGAGAGGTGCAACGGCAACCATTTTCTCCACGGGCACCGATGAACATGGGCTAAAAATACAGCAAGCGACAAAACAATTGCGAGTGCCTCCACTCGACTTCTGCAGTGATAATTCCAAGAAATTTCGCGATTTATTCGATGCATTCAACATAAATTATACGCACTTCATTCGCACTACTAATAACGATCACATAGCAGCTGTGCAAGAATTTTTTAACGTTCTCATATCTAAGGATTTCATTTACAAAGGCGAATACACCGGCTGGTACTGCGTTTCTGATGAGGCATTTTTAACGGAATCCCAAGTCACCGAGAAGAAAACTGTTGACGGAGTAATAAAAGTCAGTGCTGAAAGTGGTCATGTCGTCGAATGGAGCTCCGAAACCAATTATAAATTCAAATTATCCCTCCTGGAAGATGACTTGAAGCATTGGTTGAAGTGTGATAATCGAGTGAAACCAAAGCGTTTCCTCTACGACTTGAGAAATACGGTTGACAGAGGCTTGATGGACCTCTCCGTCTCTAGGCCTAAGGAGCGCGTGTCGTGGGGAGTGCCTTTACCCAACGACCCTGAGCACACAGTGTACGTGTGGGTGGATGCTCTAGTGAACTACCTCACGGCTGCAGGTTATCCTTCTATCCCTTCGGTTTGGCCTGCCAATGTTCACGTTCTAGGCAAGGACATTCTGCATTTCCATGGCGTCATTTGGCCTGCCCTTCTGATAGCCGCGGGATTAGAGCCACCCGAGCAGCTGCTTGTGCATTCACACTGGACTGTCGACGGGGTTAAAATGAGCAAGTCTTTGGGAAACGTAATATGTCCTAATGAACTCAAGGACACCATCACTGCTGAGGGTGTTCGGTATTTACTCCTGAGACAGGGAACTCCACATGCCGACGGATCCTGGAGAACAAAAGAAGGCGTATCTATGCTGAATGCTGATCTTGCAAATGGCTTGGGTAACTTGGTGCATCGATGCACGGGTAAATCCCTCAACAAAGATCAAGTGTTCCCTCCTCTTTGTCAAGACTTTGTCGAGAGTTCAACGCATGCTCAAATGTTGACGAAAACTATGAAAACTGTTAAGGAGGATGTGGCTAACTGTTATGATGACTATAATTTCTATTTGGGAATTGATAGGATTATGCATTTGGTACACTGTGCGAACCTGATGGTACAGGAGGAAAAACCGTGGACGCTGAAGGATAAACCAGAAGAATTGAACAGCGTACTTCACTTGGCTTTGTCAGCTGGAAGAGCGGCTGCCTTGATGCTGCTACCAATCGTACCGACGTACGCTACGAGGCTGCTTGATACGCTTGCAGTGCCTCAACGTGATAGAACTTGGAGTCAAATTGAAGCTTTTCCAAATGCTTCGCACACTTCCGTGCCTCTGGGACAGAGAATAGCTCCGTTCAAAAAAATAAATGTATAAAATTTTGCCTTTGGTTCTACTTAATCCCTTTTTCTGTAAAATTTCTTACCAAAATCGAGAACGATGTCATGTGTACATTCAAATTCAAATACTATGTTAAAGCTCCGATTCCACTAATTGTTATCAATTCGGCCAAGACCTGTTCTGAAATAATTTGTGCATTATATCAAAAATTTGTGTAATTCGACAGAAGCTTTTCTTTTATGCAAGTTCGATTAAAGACCAGAGTAGGCTTTTTATTAATAATCTTCTTATTCGTTTTTTCAACGAGTCTAACAAAATATCCTGCTATACACAATACCCTTGACTTGTACTATTGTCATTTCCAAAGTTCAGTTTCAAGTGTTGCAAAACCTTCACCAGCTTGATAATGAAAATTGTATTTTCGAAACGTCGCAATCTATTAAAATGTCATTTGGTAGCCTGCCTTTTGATCAGGTCTCGGACAAATTTACGGCCGGACCCGCGGCCGCAAGGTTTTCTTAGTGTTTTTATGGGTTTTCCTAGGTTTTTTGTGTTTTTAATGGAACCTGTTCCTAACTGTACCTAACCTGCGAGGTTTTCGTTGATTGGCTAGGTTTTTTCTATGTTTTTAGTCCGGCGGCCGCGAGACCGGCCGTAAATTTGTCCGAGACGTCTTTTGATCTCACGGCGCCAGCAAGAAATTTTGTTCGGGTCATTGAAAAAAACGAATAAGAAGATTATTAATAAAAAGCATGCTCTGGTCTTCAATCAAACTTGTATCAAAAACGTGTATTTTTCATGATATTTGCATCTTTCATTGTAATTTCGATACGCTTTATATTCGTTTAGTGAAAATTCGTGCAACTTCGTTAAAAAAACGAATGAAAATAAATAATCGGCAAAATACGAACATTTCTATAACCAATGATCGAGTGCCGTTACTTCCGTGAAACTTTTAGGTTGAGTCGAAATCAAACGCACGACGTACCTATTTTTCAGGCAACAGATTCCGCGTTTCAAGAACGTCGAATGTTGAAAGTTGGTATTGAGCGTTCAATCAGGAATAGACTACGGTAGCTTGTTATTGGTTCTTTTTAGGGTTTTTTCTAACTTATAGTTAATGGCATGAAATCTTGGCCAAGATTCATCGTAAAAGGTTCTCTCTTTGAGCTCTGCTATCCAAGACGGGACACTATCAAAATACCGTAAAATCATGATCGCAACTGATTTTGATGATTCGTAAGTCATTTGTTAATTTCTGCTTTCTAAGATCATCTGGAATGCTGCATTGACCTATGCCCATTTTAAAATTTCTATAGCTATGTTTATATCACATTCCATGCAAGTTGACCAATTTATTATTATTTGCTAAAAATTATGTTTTTCTCTCATGACAGTGAGCAGATTCAGCAGAGCAGTGACCCTCTATTATGTAACATGTCTTCTCATTCAACAGTACTACTCAACTTTACTAGAGAGTAGAGGCTCCCTAACTGGAAAATGTGGCGCTGGGCAGAAGACACCCATGAATCTGACAGACTGACACTGACAGAAAAGCTTCTGTCGCCCATTCCCATTGCCTTTTCCTAATTTTTTCACTAAAAATAATGAAAACAGATTTTTTTATTCAGTAATTTCTTGAAATTACCTGTGAAACAATGGTTTTTATCTGCAATCTTAGGTAACTTCTGCCGGACTAGTATGGAATATATCTACTTGGCAAGCCGCGACTGAATTTTTTGAGCCGTGGTTTTATGGATTTGCCAGCCGTGATTCCATTTCTACGAGCCGTGATTCTATTTCACCGAGACTACTGAAATTATATGATATTAGAGCCGCGATATTTCAGACAAAAATAGGACTTTTCCAGACTAGCTGCCGGATAGGGTAAACGCGGTATATTCCGACATCGTAGGTAATTCCGTCACCTCTCCAGCATAGTGAGTCAGTGACAAAGCAGAGAGTTTTTTAGACTCTCCCTCAAGTTTATTTTTGAGTCCTATAAGTAGGCCAGTAAAGTATCATGGATACCAGCATTATCATACTTAAGAAATTGGTTTAAATCTTGAGTTTTGGGAAAATTAAAAATGAACCGATTCCAAAAAAGCTCTGGTTTGCCACTATGCTCTCCAGCTTTTTCTTTATATTAAGCTTTGTTTTAGTTCCATGCGTTCATTGATGGTTGAAATGGTGACGTCATTATGTCGTCATACATTTGCGTGTCGAAATACTGCAAAAACACTAGGTCTTGGGTATCTAGTGGGAAAATATTGAGATCCAAAGAGAGACAATGCATGCCACGTGGTGAGATCATCGAAAAATGTGTCAAATTTGACAGTTGACATGGCCCTACCAAATAGTGAATAACTGTTTTTATAGGAAGAATATTATGGTTTGAGACTTACGTCTCAAACCATAATAATAATATAATAATACGTCTGTGAATATATTAGGAATCCTTTAAGTATACTTGTATTCGCTGATTTAAAGTCGTAAATGAATTAATAGATGATCAAGTTGAGATGTTGGATTTAGACACATGAAAACTAATTCCAACACAACTTGAATTGGACACACACAGATCGTTCAAAGCTTTGTACAAAAATTGAAATTTGCTTAATATTTTTTTATAGTTTTTCATTTCTCGATGCGTCCTTAATGTGTCGGAATATACCGCGTTTACCCTATTTCAAATTAAATCATACCAATATTTTTTTTTTTAAACTTTGATCCAATAGTCTAGGGTAAACTTTAAACTTTTAAACTTTTTTTTTTTAACTTTGATCAATAGTCTCAAACAGGATAATAAGGTATGGGCAGCTAATTGAGACAGTCTTCCTTGGTTTTGTAGATATGTTGTACTTGTACAGGGTGCGCCACAGAAACTTACTTATTTGAAAAAGTTCCCGCGCTCTAAGTTGGGCGGGTAGAGGGGCGAGAGGGGGCGCATCGGGAGGGAGAAGTTCCCAAGTTTGTTTCTATCCTAATTAGTTACCATCATGATCTGGACTACTAGAGAGCAGTGGGCCTTTGCAGTCAAAACCTTCATTTCCAACGGTCGCTCACTTGTTGCTACGCAACGCACCTTCTGCGCTTGCTTTGTAATTCCTCCTCACAAACTCGTTCCTGGCCGTAATTCAATTCTGTCGTGGGTTACTTCATTTTGAGAGTATCATGAGTATGGAAGTGTCGCTAAACCCAGAAATGAACGTCAACGGACCATCAGAACTCCGGAAAATGTTGAAAGAGTGACGCAGGCAGTCATGCGTTCTCCCCGGTGTTCGGCTCGCAAACACGCCGCTGCTATGGGAATTTCTGAAACCACTGTTCGATGAATTCTCCATGAAGACCTTCACTTTCATCCCTATAAATTGGCTGTTCTGCAAGAATTATCTGAACGCTATTTTGTTGCCTGTCAAAATGCATGTGAAATGCTGGTTAACAACCTGCCTGAAGACGCGGTCGTTTTTTTCAGTGACGAGGCTCACTTCCACATTTCTGGCTGTGTCAACAAGCAAAACATGCGTTATTGGTGCAGTGTTAATCCACGAGAGCTTCACCAGAAGCCACTTAACTGCGAGCGAGTTACTGTCTGGTGTGCGATGTCGGTAATGGGAATAATTGGTCCTTATTTTTTTGAAGAAAACGATCGCGCAGTTACCGTTAATGGAGCTCGTTACAGGAACATGATCGAAGAATTTTTTCTTCCAAGACTCGAAGAAATGAACGTTAGGAATGTGTGGTTTCAGCAAGATGGAGCCACAGCACACACAGCACGAGACTCAATGAATTTGCTGCGACAACATTTCCCCGACCGCCTCATCTCTCTCAGAGCCCAGAGGCAATATCCAATGGCCGCCACGCTCTCCAGATTTGGCTCCATGTGATTTCTTTTTATGGGGTTATTTGAAATCCCTGGTTTATGGCGATCGACCATGGACCGTAGATCACCTCAAGAACAACATTCGTGATGCCATTGCCAACATACCGATTGATATGCTGCAAAGAGTGGATGCGAATTTCAAAAATAGACTTCATCAGTGTATGCGCATTGGGGGTCGCCATTAATCAGATGTCATTTTCAAGACTGTATGAAAAAATTGGGAAATAGTATTTTCAAATAAAACAAAAATCAAAACAATATTTGAAGTACTTTTGTTTTTATTGACCTTTCAAATAAGTAAGTTTCTGTGGCGCACCCTGTACCAGCTAAACTAATTAAAATATTGCAAAACTAAAAATAGTGTGGTAAAGTTTAACATTTTTCCTATTCATATAGCATAAAGCAAGTTAAGAAGTCATACATTTACTACATCTAAAAAATCTCTAAAATATTGTGAAGAGTGAAATTTCAGAAAAGTACCTAGTTTAAGGGGAGCATCTGGGTCCTTATGGGCGTCTTCTGTAAAACTTATGGAAATTGCACGGTTTTGTAAGCAATTTAAAAATCTACTGTGAAATGATTGTTTTACAATAATTTTTTTTAATCTTGCTTGGCAGCAGCTGTATTCAGAAGGCCTATGCTTTTGATAAATCGTGGGTTCAGATCAGTCCTTTTGATCCTAACTAATTATATATTCTTTGAGTCTCAGTTAATCTTGCATTGTTCTTTATGATCACTTGTATAGCGAGTAGGCTGCTTTCAGTATAAGCTATTGACAATGGCTTTATAATTATCATATCATGAAGTTGACCAACTTGGTTACTAAGTTGATGCCTGTTCTGTTTTCCAGAGTGACAGAAGAAGTGGTTGCTCTGGAAGCAACACTCATGGAGGATGTGACTGTTCACCGTTCTGATGATGGGTTTGTCTTTTGCATTCAGTTTTCTAATATATCTATTAATTTTTTACTTGATTGTTTTTTGATTGAATTTGAAAATAACTACTATTATTAGTTGAAAGGGCACCACCATTACTTAGTTTTATTTAATTTTACTAACTTGAAAAAGTTAAGGCTACTCCTAGAATCAAGTTGTAAGCCTGAAGGTGACATCAGAATGCTCCTACTTCAGCACCAGCCAGACACCAAACTTAGAGCAGGGACATGAATTTGGTATGTTTGACACTTTATTGATAATGGAGGTACTGGTGGATACTGATGATGCAGAGTAAATATAGAAGCCTAATGAAAAAATGAACCCAGCCAATGGCATGCACTGAATCTATTGTTCATAGTACTGATAGTAGTGAGCCTATAAGATTCTGTAAACAAACTTAACTAGATGCTGCAAATACTTATCCCTAGTTTTTCCTAACAAAATGCTTACAATTCACAAATATTCCAATACAATCTATGTATATCACAAAGAACACTTGTCTCACAACTTACACCAACAGTGAAGTGCAAGGTGCTATACAACAGACTGATTAGAAAATGACTTATCAAATTTTGTGAACAGCAGGATGTTTCTATAGATAAAAATGCTAGTTAAACCAAAAGATAAAACACTAATGAAAAAAAATCAGTACAAATCTAACAGAACAAATATAAGAAATAACTGTTTGAATGATTTAAAAAAATGACAAGGAAATTACAGCACAAAGTATTCTTGATATTTAACTGCTTCAACCTTCTGGCACCTGGTGAAAATTTGTATTGGTTTTGACATAGATCCACTAGTGATTTATTAAATAGTAAATGTGTACTAGTTCTGAAATAAGTTCTCAGATTCTGATTTTATGGCAATCAGCAGCATCTTGTTATTATCTGATTACCATTTTCTGTTGTTAAAACAATTTGTTATTATATACTTACAATATTTGTGGATAAAATTGTTATAGATATATTTTCTGGATTAGTATTTTTGATGAAATACCCCTTATTATTAATCTATGTTAGCAGATTCTTGAAGTTATTTAAGACATAGGTACATTGATTAAATGTGTTGTTTTGCACAGACACATCACTGGTGTGGAAATTTGTGTTGTACCAGCAACAGCGCAGCAAGTATCCCAGCAACATGTCAGGTGCACGCTGGAAGCTACTTTCCCTCCTCGGTACCCTGCTGTTCAGCCAAAAGTCATAATCCGGTGTGTACTCATTGCTTTATTTAACTGTATGTTTTATGGAATACAGGCAAGTGTTGTATAGTTCATTTTTTATGCATTATGCAAGATGAAACAAGGTTTGTATTGATTTGATGCCTATGAAGGTCCAGTCTAATTTGTTCGTTAAGAACTCGTATTAGATAATTGAATTGTAAGAATTCACTCAATTTACTCCCATAAATGAAATCAAAATGAATCCACAGCTGCTGTAGAAGTGGTTATTTGTTATCTATCACCGTTTCTTCCATACTCTGTTTGAACAAATGTTAACTTGAAACAACTTGTTGAAGCAAAGTATTATAAACTGTATTGGATTCTTAACAAGAGGCTAAGATTTAGGTCTTATTTTCTGTCCAATGAAATGTATTTATTGACATTGATGTGTTAGCTTCTCACATGAAATTTATTTATATTTCAGCAATCCTCGTGGCATAGATGAAAATGTGTTGCTGAAGGTGGAGAGGGAGATGATGGCAAAATGTCAAGAGCTTGAAGGCAGTCCTGTCATCTATGAGCTTGTTGAGGTACCTCCCATTTAATGTCTTTCTTTTTTCAGATCATTTTCATATGATGTAATCCGAAATTCATAATAATGTTTATTCTTGCCAAGAACTTGTTGAACTAATTGTTGAGATCAATATTATTTAAGAAATTCTTTGGTGCTACAGTTGAACCATCTTGCTCTAAATTTTGATGACTGCAACATCATTAATTTAATCTAATAATCAAATATAGATAATTTGGTATTGTTCATCCTCAGTGTGTAGATATACGCTGGGATTAGAATGTAGATAGAAATGAATTGACAATTTTAAAATTTTTCATTGTCTTTTAAACAGAAAATTCTATTTTGTTGTTTTGCAGCTTATACGTGAAAACCTGACAGAAAACAATACTCCAAGCTGTCCCTGCACCATATGCCTGTATCACTTTCATCCAAGTGATCACTTCACCAAGACTCAATGCTTTCATTACTTCCATAAGCACTGCATGGGACGGTGAGTCATAGATGCCTTAAATACTTACTTATCTATCAAAGGCAAAATTTCTTATGAAATATTGATAAATCAAATGGATCCATTGCTTCTTTAGTCTAGCTAGTATCTAATGCATCAAAAAATGATTTTTAGGAAAGAAGTCTTCTGTTCAAAAGGAAGCGCGTCAGCCAATAAATTCTATAGAATATATTCTCTTTTGGTTCAAATGAAAGGAATTAATTGTTTATTTATAATACCAGTTCTTTACATTGTTTAAATTCAAATCAGAACCATGAGCTTTCAATAAGACTTACCAAGGGAAATATTGCAGGTACATCAAGAATTGTGAGCTGACATATGCTGCCAGTGTAGCTGAGCAGCAGCTGGCTCCTTGGCAGGCACAACCACAGCTTCAGCTCATCTGTCCAGTCTGCAGGGAACCTATTACTTTAGAGGTGAGTCATTCTTATCTTTAATTTCTGTAAATGAACATGAATTAGTTATTGAGTCCCTTTTATTTTTGGCAATTTAAGCATTGTTACTCCTTCATATTGATTGCAAAGTTGCTTGATATGTTTGATATTGATAAGTTGATTGATCATATTGACTGATAAGTTTTTATGTAGTACGATTGCAATTGCTATATTTATTTCAACCTCAGAGTGTACCGTATCCTTACAGAGGAAATTATATCTCTGTCATGAAGATATAATTATTTAACAATTCATGAGCAGGAAAGTGCTGAGAGCCTCATGTCAATGCCGGGCCCCGTGGAGGAAGAAGGGGAGGAGCTGTGGAGTCCTGACGCTCCTGAGGTGCAAGCTCTGCAGCAGTCGATGGCGAAGCTGTTCCTGCAGCAGCAGCAGCGAGGCGGCATCATCGACCTCGAGCAAGAGAAGAACAAATACTTCGTGTCTCTCATTGCGGTGAGCAGCACTCAAGGTCTCGATGAAAATTTGTATTTCTCAGGGCACTCCTGATGCTTGATGTTCAATTAGTCCGTAAATATTGTAATAATATTACCTGATCTATATAATTTATAAAAAATTAATTATGGCATTGTGAAGTTTTAGACAATTTAGCTAAGCTTTACTATACCATTTATACCAAACCTGTGCTCGCTGCCAAAATGTATGGGAGCCGTCATTTATGTGTAGAAATGGTTTTCAAATGATCAATTTGTTTCGTACTCTGGTATAGATGAATGAATATGAATTAACAGTATTTAGTTTCCAGAACAACTCACTTCATATGAACTTTCATATCATAAAAGTTGTTTAAGCAAATATTTTTTTAATCGGATATCGTGTTAATATATTTCAGTGTACAAATAGGTTAAATTTTTGTGTGAATTGAATAGTGGTCAGATTTTGTTTTTCACGAGTTTTGAGACTTTCGATTTCCACTGTTGTGGTCTATTTTTTATTTTATTTCTCTTTTGTTGTCCTTTAAAGCTATTTTCCTCATCAATTGTTTGATGTAGGTATGTTTTTCATCAAAATAAAATGTGAAAATACTTCAGTAGAGGCTTTGAGCAACACTTTTGATTCTAATGCTAAGTTTTTGCTATAGAATGAACCTCATATCGAACAAGACTCAGCTCAAGTTTCTGGTGTTGACGAGTCTCTTGGTCACGAAAAGAAAGACCTTACGCCCCCCCGTGAGGCCGCCACTGAAGCTCCCGTTGTTGAGGAGATCCGTGATGGTCGAAACATCAACTTTCCCGCGGGAGAAAGCGATGGTGTTGACACCGGTAAAAGTGATCGCGGTAGTGGAAGCCGCGGCCGAGATCGCGCCTTGCACGGCGATGTCCGTGGACGAGATCGTGGATCCTCGCGTAGTGGGCGTCCATGTTATGGGTCGCGCGGTCGAGGTGCCGCTGATGGTTCCCTGGTGTATGACGGATACGGCAGGGGACGGCGAGTTGGGTCTGACCATCGTCAAGGTATGTGAAACTTGGATAAGTGTGTGATGTATAAATGTTAACAGTAAGGTGCGTTTCTTTGCTGGCAGGGAATCTCAAGTATAAAGTATCTTAAAACAGATACTTTTGCCTGGCATGATTTTTTTTTAAATTGGTTGGCGTGATATCTTGAATTCGCATTTCTTCATTCCATGTAACAGTAAAAATTTTTGTGCAGGTTATCATGCCCGGGGAAGTCAGAATAACTCTGATGCAGGCTGCGGACGCAGAAACACTGATGTCGGTAGCACACGTTATTCACGACCGTGGGAGGAGCAGCACGATCAGAGTAGTTACTCTAGACGCAAAGATGACGATGAGCTCAATCGCAGACATGGCCCCCGTATGTTTCGGGGTGGCTATGGTGTACCACAGTCAGGATATACTTATAACAGCCGTTATACCCACAGCAACCACCAGCACGGCTCCAATGGCTCAGGCCAGCACTTTTATGCTCGTGGCTGCGGCAGGAATCGTGGCCGGACAGAACGACCGAGTGGCCGCCAGCTGCATGCAGATGCTGAAGCCAATGATTGCTCCTCCGCTTCAAGCTCTCAGAGTTGACGACGGTCCTGTGCAGGGCGATGCTCACCCTGTCCTCTTCTTTTCCTATCTCCAAAAAATACTCGACTTTCATTCAATTCTAGCTTTTCTATCTATGGCTTCATTGCTTTAACTTGTTGGATTTGTTGTTTTTTTGCTGCTAAATCGAAAGTTCACGTCATGGTGTGTGGCTTTGAAAGCCCTAGTTATGTCTGGATGATGTATTTATTTTTCTTGATGTATATGTGCACACAAACTATGCTACGGGATTACCAGTCAGGGTTTGAAAACTCGGTTGACAACCATCAGATATCTGTTTGTGTCTGTTCTGGCTGTCGTAAATCCTTGAACCTACTCATGTATCTACCTCATTTGACTCTGCCCGTTGTATTTATTGTTATTATCTTCTGCTTTCTTGCATTTAACTTTCACCCCTTTTCTGTCGTTGGAATGATTCTCTTACTTGGTTGGTTTGAAAATATACTGCTTTGGAAAATTTATTTAAGTCAGTTGGTGTTCACTGTGCATATGAAAAATTCCGATTGTTTTGTTACCCTTTCCAGTACATTTCTCAAATGCTTGTTTGTAACACGGACGAAGTCTGCTCTGGAGTATTTATCACGCATAATGGATTTGTGTTCAAATTTCAAATTTTCCATTTTACAATCTTACACGAGCAGGTGGACTGGTTATTTGTCATGCGTGGAAATTTTCACGATTTCGTTCGCCTTCTTGCATTTCTTGAATATTAAACGTTTGAGAAAGTCACCAGTGAACCACACTGAAACTACACTTTATTGCTGTCCACCTATTAAAATTGTTCCTAATTTATTAGAACCATATAAATTGAAGCCAGATTTTACTACACATTCCATATCAATCGGAGCTTTCTTTCCAAAACTCTATTCTTTTGTTAATCTTGCACTGAAGAGCCGCAACTGGATGAAGTTTCTCTAGCAGTCTCCTCATTATAGAACAATATATATATCAACTGTTTAAATGCTCATCAAACGTTGAAATTATTTGCTTTACTCTTGGTGTCTTCACCCGTCGGAATCCTCAATGGGGTTCAGTATTAAGAAACATGCAGTCCTTGTTTCTGTACCTGCATTACAATCCTCGCTTGTCTTCAATTGTACTCACAATACTAGTAGAGCTGTTGCCAAATGTAGGGTACGATTTTACGTAGAGTATTTTTATTGTGTTTGACTATATGTATTGATATTTTATGATTAGGCTGAAATTGCTTTTTAATGTATGTTTTGGTAAAGACCTGAGAGAAACTCTTATTAATAATTTTCTCATTGTTGTTCTCATTATTGCAAACTAGATTTTAATTTGGACTTGAAAAGTTCAAAGATTGTCGTTTTAGTGGACATTCGATTTCATTGGTACGACGCTTTGAACAATAATTATTTACTGTCAATTGAAAGAAGGTTTCGTCACGCTTAATATTGAGATGACAAATTCAAACCAGTGCACAACTTTTGGAGACTTTTTTGTAATCAATGTTTTTCACGTAGATTACATGACAGATCTGTGTTGGCGTAACTACTTGGTGCAATCTTGAAGTTCACTTATGATTTTGGGACCATACGCTCCTTCATACAACGACCGTGTAAGACTTGCACATCCACTAGTGATTTAAAAATCCAACTTTAAAACAATCTTTTAAATTTTTGTCATGAATGGCGAGTCGAAAAAAAAACAATCGACTTGTAAATGCAAATTGTCAATAGCGTAAAAATCGAGCTAATGAGGACCAGCACCAAACTGAAAAATCATGACCGTCCGCTACCAGAAGAAGATGTACATCGGTTACAAGCCACATGATCCAGTCCTGCAGTCAAAATAGATGAAACCTTCATTGTCAAGTACGAATTTCCAACTGTTATTTTACAAACTAAAAGATTCACTTGGCTCATTTTTAGATATTATTTGAAATTCTGTTTACTCCAAAGATATCCCTGTAACTTATTTAAAATGACTGTGGTTCGTTGTATTTCAGGTAGCCCTTGTATTTGTCTTAGTTTAGCAATGAGCCGTCAAACGTCTAGTCATTCGAGGCTGCTTAGCACCTAACTTTGGGTGACGTAGGTACTTTAAGCATTGCTTTAGCAGAGGCCAAATTAGTTGTTAGCTTTTTAGCCGCTTGTGTATTGCATGGCAGTTCTCGTCGTTTGTGTTAAGCTTGTAGTGGGCCAGCAGGTTCCTAGTATATAGAGGGCCTACCTGTGGACGGTCTATGAAAAGGAGATAAACTATTTGTAGAGTTTTAAAGGCAGCTTCTGTTGTAGTTTTATTACATGCGTTTTTCTCGAACTATCCAGACGTTATGACAGATTTTATCAATAGTGATGTCCATGTTGATTCAGTTGTAAATTTGGCGCCGTAATCATCATCTAAATTCCTTAAAAAAAACTGTTGAATGATTATTTGTTGATCTTTTTGAGGTTTTTAATCAACTTGATGCTTCAAGAATCTTTCTTTTAGTAACGCATTTCATGCTACTTGAAGTCATGCTAGAATATATCCTTTTGAACTCTGTTTCCTTCGGTATTTAAAGTGACTGATAAATGCACCCTTCCCTTTGCTAGCTAATTATTAGAGCGGTGAATCGAATCGTGTTGGCTGTAGACGTGCATGAATCTCATTAATTTTTCCTTGACAATTCTGTTTCCTCGCTGATCTTTGTTGCTTATGACTCTTAAATAGCTCGCTGTGTTGTTCGCTTATCTTCACATGAGGAGTTCTTCATAGAGTCCGCCTCTCAATGCTGTTACTGAATCTTGGCGTCTGCGCGCTTTGCTTGTGTGGGAGTTTTGGTATATTCAGTTTGTCACTTTGAAAAGTGTAGTAAACGTATATAGAACGGGGCAAACGAATCTAAGATATAATTTAAATTTAAATAACTCGTTTATGTTATGTGTCTGATGTGAATATGAAATTTCTATCCAGGAAACTTTAATTGGTATATCTTGGATATAAGTTGAGCTTCTGACGACCCTTGTCTAATCAACTCACCAGAAATATCAGTCTTATTTTAATGCTCTGTCTTAAAGGGGTATTGAGAACCGCTAGGTATCGGACAGTCTTGACGACATACTACTGAGTTCTTAACGAATTAGGCTGAACTTTACTCCATTGGTAAATGAGATGACAATCTGAAAATTTTCATGATTTTCCACCGGTTTGTTTACAACTGTAACGAAAAAAATATTTACTTTACTTTGCATTGAAAGAGTAATGACGAGATTTTCAAGCAACTCAGAATATTGATGTTCATGAATTGTGCGACTTCTTCTTTTTTTGAAATGACAACGGGTTATACTTTTAATTCTCTACTGGATGGTCTAGTCTGTATTTCTTGATCGACCTCCTTATAGATATTACCCGCCAACAATCATTTATGAACGAGCATGCTTGCATGTGGAGGAAAAATCCCGTATAGTAACAGGCGCTGTGGCCAGAATGAGGGGAGGCACAGGTCGTAAATTTCTGAGTTGTTAAACTCGACGGCTCATGTGGTTAGGACTCTCAACGAGAAGCGAGGAAATGAGTGTGAAACGTCGTAATTTATTTACTATGTAATACCGCTTTAGACATTTTCCATCCCTTGATCAGAGATCTTATTTCTTTCTGGTTTGTCCCGTTGGACGAGTGGATGTGTAGTTTTGAAGCGACCGTAAACAATTTTATCGATAGCAAAGGCTATGCCGTTTTTAATTGGACGTAGAAAAATGTAATCCGAGTTTGGTGATCTTCCTGACTAATGTTAATTATTTATGCAATATTGTCTTGTCTAAAGCAAGACGTCGATCTTCAGACTCGTGGGGGATACGTTTTTGTCCAGTTTTCCTTCCCTCGTTTAGTACTCCTCGCTTGAAACGCTAGGCTACGTGTAGCGCCCACGTTCGGTGGCACTGTAGTGTAGCGTGCTGAACTTGTCATTCCGTTAAGTCTTTGATCGGGGTTTAAATGATGCACAATAACATAGCCTAAATTTATTTTCCTTTGCACAGTAACATCTGTTGTATGCGAACGGCAGCGCAGTTCATCAGCGTCTTGGACGTCACCAATCGCACTCTAATGATGACTTACATTTATCGGCTTAAGTCCTCAAAAAATGAGGGCTTGACGTAAGTTGCACTAACAAATCGGACTTGCCAGGGCAGAAGCGAGTTACAACTACAGTAGGTTCTGTGACACGAGCAGCCGAAAAAAATATACTTACTTCGTAACCGAATAGGGTAATAATAATGATTCGTTCCATTTGCAGAGAATTGTGCGCGAGCGTCGAATTAAAAAAAAAATACAACAAACGGATAATTCGAGAGCAAGCCTAACAATGAATTACAAACAAAATTATGAAAAAGTGAATCTTGGCACTGATCAATTGCAAGTTTACTGATTATTCAAGACCATACAAAATTAACAACAATCCAAGATAATGAAAAGAGACCATGTCAGGATTAGTGAACGTATTTCAAGCGTGAGAGCAAATTACGTTAGGTGCAGCTACTCTACAGCCAATAAAGAATTTTGTCGAGGCTGCAGCAAGCTCCACGAGCATCACCAGAAAAAGGATTGAAACGTTCCTAAGCGGATGCCAAACCGACAGCATTCACAAAATGTACAGAGAAATTAAGACTGAACATAAAACCCACAACTTTACACCTTATTTAGTATTGAAACCTACGTTTTGAGGAAACGATCTTTAAGGATACAGTTAATAAATAACAAGAGAGTGAGAAGAATACTTAACAAAGTCTCTGTCAAAAAGATGAGACATTTCTGGTAAATTCTTATACACCAGGGACACCGACTGCAGACTCATCCAAGGACGCAGAAAGAAACAATTAGGCCTAAGAATTAGTACACGTTCACTACGTTAGTAATCACGCTCACTCCGTTAGAGAACATTCAAATTATACTGATAGATGAAATTAAAACAATAATAATGTCACTAGGATGTTTTGAAAATGTGTCAGGTCCTAAATGTGTGCGCAATGAGTCCCTCAAATTAGAATCTGGAAATCAAGTTAAGATCTGAATGGTAGCATCGTAATCAAAACTAAACAATAATTAACATAAAATGAGATTATTTCCTGGAGCGATGTAAACCGGGATTGCAATGACGAGAATTAGAAGTAAAAATGATTGTATCTACAGTCCAGTTTATGCATCTGAATTACGACTTAAATACTAGTGAAAACCATGAAAATATGACGCACAGGAGCCTTCGTGTAGTTCAAAGAGACAGACGGCCAAAAACGCCGCCCTTTGCCACGTGTTTCTCTTCGCTTATAACCTCCCCCGTTTTCTTGTTCACACGCACGATCTTCTTGTAGAGCATTCGTTTAGGGTTCGCCGGTGTACTGACCTTATTAGGTAAAGCTGGTAAATAATCATCAATATCATCGTCATCAGCGGACTCCGAGTCCACGTCCATCTTCGACACAGATGCTTGCACTACTCGAGGCCTTATATTTTTTTTGAGTACATTAAGGGAGTTACGACCTGAAGACGACTCTACGACGCTACTACTGCGGCTACTGCTGTTGCTGGTGACACTTCGTACTCTGTGATTCTTTTCTGATGCCATCTCGCTGGAATCTGAATCATCTGAGACGTAAATACTCTCCTTTTTCTTAAGAGGAACGTCTTGGGAAACTTGTATTCTCAAGGGCTCCAGAAGCTGTTTCTTGGGTGCATTGGCCCGTGCTTTGCTATTCATCTTGGCAGGTAAATCACGAGCTTTCGTTAATTTCGGGACTCGGTCCATATGAGCCGACGTAGGTATCTTGCACCTCACTGAGACCATACCCTCAGGGGAAGCTGGTGGGCTGTCCACTCTCTTTGTGTGCTTCATTACCGATGCATATCGAGCAGCTGTTGTTGCTTTACGTTTCGGAAATCGCTCATAATCGTCAATATCATCACTATCGTCTGAATAACCTTTAGAGACTGACACTTTTAAGGACTTCGATAAACGATCACTGTGCATTCTAGAAGGTGCAGCAATTTGCTTCATGTGCATTCTAGGAGGAGCTGCAACTTGATCCATGTACATTTTAGATGACCCTGGCCTCCTTGGAACTTTTTCCTCTTCACTACTTACGTCACTCTCAGATCTGTGCAAATAATTATTATCATAAGCCACATTACGCACAGGTTTAAGGACTTTCCTTATTTGTGGGAGACTGTCAGTGCTTCGAGATTTGGGCAGGACTTTCGCGCCTGTAGTGCTGCCAACTTCATCCTCGCGTGAACGCTTGAAACTTGGAGCTTTCAACATCGTTTTAACGTGCACCCTTTGTGCAGCTTCTTCTCTCTCTTTGGCGAAAATTCCAGCACTTTTGAAGGTAGTAGGCTGCAAAAGAACAGCCGCCTGAACACCAAGTCTCGATTTGATGGCAGCACCGGGATGAGTTGAGGTTGTGGTGTCTGCATTGGTGATCTTCCTTTTAGCTATGACGCGAGCACGTTCATTGCCGTCCTTTGTAGAGTATTTGAGCACACCTTGATACTCAAGGGAAGGGAGCTCTATGCCATGCATCGAACTCTCCAGAGACCCATCGCTCGTTGTACTAGACACGCTATTGTCGCCAAGCCTCTCGAATACAGAGCTTCTTTTCGTGATACTTCCATTGACAGCTCCTAGGCGACCCGAGAACGCAGCAGGTGGTGAATGGCAAGATTTTTCCTTGCGAACATAATGATCGAGCATCCTGGATGCTGGTGTATTCTGCTTGCTCATTGCCGGAACTGCTACGGCATTTTTTGCAGATGACGCGCTGGTGAGCCTTGAGACGCTATGGTCAGCCAAAGCGCGGACTCGGGCTGCAGTCTTGGCATGCTTCAAGATGGCAATAACATCGCCCATGACAGTGATGCCCATGTCCCTTAGACAGTCACGGTTGAGGTCGAGGAGCATGTGCTGCTTGATGCGGTTGTCGGTGAAAAGCAGGGCATAGTTGGTGGCGTCACTGGCAGGAATACCAGCCTCTGTGAAGAACTTGATCCAAGTCGATGTTTCACTGATGGAGGACATCTCAACAGATCACAACCTGCAAGAGAAATGTACAAGAATCAAGCCAAAAAATTACCACTTGTACACAATAACTTATGAAACAATAACTTTTACAACATACATAACCAAGAGCATAGAATAATAATAAAAAAATTGGTTTTTATTTTGGTTAAATGCTCACTAGAAGAAAAAGAATTTAAACACCTATCAACTCAAGTTGACCCTTCACAAAATTATTATATATATGTACCGGTAGTTATAAAATTTTACTGTGGGCTATTATATTTTATGGAGGATGCCTCATTTCATGGTTATAACTCAACTAAGCACTATTAAAACAGGAATTAACTAATTTGGTTTTAATAGCGCGTGGTTTTTCAAATATTTTTTAGTGATGCAACATTTAAATTATATACTAGATCAATATTTGATATTGAAGGTTACTCAACTGTACAGCATTTATATATATACCTTCTCTAAAAAATCAAAGAATGTTTCAAAACTCATATCTTATGGCAACAAACCAATTCCCTCAAATGGGGCAAAAAAAAGTTTTTTCAACAAATAGAGATTAAAAATATATTTAAATAAGGAAATACTTAATTGGAAATAATTATTTGTGAGAAAAACCTTTAAAATATTCAGAAAAATTCCCAGTACCTTCCAATACCAACATCTTTCCAAATGTGTAAGTTTTGAGGTGCAAAGTGTTTCCCCTTACAATTGAAATTGTTGGTTTATTAATACTACTGATATGCATGACATATTCAAACACAAATCTAGTAGCAAGCAGGGTTAAATTCTAGTATTGGTGGTATATTTTAACATCTTGTGCAGGTAATAAGAGACTGGCGGGGTAAATCGGGACAGTCATTCCACATTTCATAGATATGTTGTAGCAGCAAAACTAATAAAAAAATATAACTCAGTAGTCAGTACTCACTGCAGTGAGTGACAGAGTGCATTTTCTTGTTGACAAAAACAGAAAGTCACGGACAGACAGACAGACGGACGGACGGGCAGACAGACGGACGGACGGACGGACAGACAGACGGACATGGCGAGCACAATAGTGCATTTTCCCATAAATGAGAAAATGCGCTAAAAACATTGCAAGAACTAAAAATAATGGCATAAAGTTCAAAATTTTTGCTATCTGTGTAGCATAAAGCAAGTTAAGAAATCATATTTACTACCTCTAAAAAATTCCTGAAAAAAGTGTGAAAAGTGAGATTTTGGAGAAGTATCTCTGCTAAGGTCTGCAGCAAAAATATTTGCCGTATTAAAAAATCTTACTTGAATAAAATGTGCACAAAGGTGTTGGCAAAGAAAACTGGCAGCCATTTCTGCACAAAGTTCTAATAAGAGACATCCCTAAAACACATTTACAGTAGAACCTTGGTTAGCAAAGGCTCCAGTCAACAAAAAAATCAGTCAACAACAAAGAATTGTGATTACAGTAACCTCTCTCAGAGTAAATAATTTCACTCAACAAGAAATTAGTGCATCATTGTTCATCATAAAATTGTGCATAGAATATCATAGATAGAATTGTGCACCAGGCAACATAGAGTGAAAAATAATTAACCTAAACTATGATTCATTTCTCCAAAAAATATGATAGTTTTCACTAAAATATTCTTTTCTGTTACAGGTATGTTCTTTACGATCTTTTTTGTTATAGTGAATTCACTTGACCCATAAAAATGGTGTGAAATTACAAGCTATCCTGTAAGCTTACAGATATACAGAAGAAATGCTATAAGGCTGCTGATATGAAGCTTGCAGTGGACAAGGTCATTGTCAAATGTCAATGATCAATGGCATGTCCATGGATACAGTAATCTCATATCAATAATATGGTAATGTATACTGTATGGATGTGGCAATTTCATATCACTAAAGGAAAAACAAGTAAAAATCACAGGAAATGTCATTTATTCTACATCTACATCATCTACAAAGGAAGAGAAGGACTTCAGAGTACTGTTAGTATGTAATGGATAAGTACACTCTGCTCTGTATGCTTCAAACATTTCAAGATCAAGTTTTATTTCAAGTGTCCCTAATTACCCTGTTCCCAGGGTTAATTATGGATGCTTTTATTTGCATCTGGCACCCCACACATAGCATATGGAATTTTTTCAGAGATGCCATACAATAGCCCTCACACAGGCCTTTAAAATGAGCCCAAACTATTTCATGAAATGCTTCATGGTAAGAAGTTATTAACAAAAAATGCTCAAAACTGTCCCTTATCACCCTGTTTGACGGTATAACTACGCATCAACATTGAATTAAGACTCCATGATAATGGCACCTTGTACTAAATTTACCAAAATGTACTAAACTACTTAATATTAACTGCACTCATTGATCAACACATCTGCTTCCTATTGGAATTCATTTGAAAAATAGTGTCAACATTTCTATTGTGTAAATTGCTTGTGATAATAAATCAATAGTTGCTTTGTTAGCTGATGGTCTTTAATTATTCCCAGGGAAAAAGAATTTATACTATTATTGTCTTTCCTGTCAATAATCATTCAACCTTACAAAATGCAAAACACATTAGGTTATGAAATTAGCTTTACTTGAAAAGCTACATAATTGAGCAATAATTTTCATCGAGTGTAATCATAATGTAAAATTAGAAATGTATTTTCCAGGAGCTGCTCCATTTTTCAAAACCACTTGTATGAAATTTAACTTTCAAGAATTTATTAATATTATTCATTAATGCCAGATTTTGAATGAAATGTTAACTCATGAATTTTGCAGGCCATGAAACCAATATGTTTGCATGATTGCATCAGTTCTAAATACCTATCAAAGTATCACCCATATGGGCTAGGGTAAACGCGGTATATTCCGACATTGTGGGTAATTCCGACACCTCTCTAGTTTTTCCTTTACATTAAGCTTTGTTTTAGTTCCATGCGTTTGTTGATGGTTGAAATAGTGACGTCATACATTTGCGCGTCAAACTACAGCCAAAACACTAGGTCTTGGCCATCTAGTGGGAAAATGTTGAGATCCAAAGAGAGACAGTGCATGCCACCCATGAGATCATCGAAAAAAATGTGTCAAAGTTGACAGTTGACCTTGCTCTACAAATAGTGATAAACTGTTTGTGTAGAAAGAATATTATGGTTTGAGACTTTAAAATACGTCTGTGAATATATTATGAATCCTTTAAGTATACTTGTATTTGCTGATTTCAAGTGGTAAATAAATTAATTGATGATTAAGTTGAGAAATGGATTTAGACACATAAAAACTAATTCCGACAGAACTTGAATTGGACACACTCACACACACAGTTCGTTCTAAGCTGTGTGCAAAAATTAAAATTTTCTTAATTAAAAGCTTAATAACTGGTAATTAAAAGCCCAATTAAGTAGTGCTCAATATTCAATAGTGTTCTATTTCAAAGCCATCATATTCCAATACAGCTTACACAGCGATCGGAATTCGAACACGTGGATGTTGGAATTATGTATTAGTACAATTTGAAGCGCAGTTGGAATACGTCTCACCACGTGCCAAATATAGTCACACACAGTGTCGGAATATAGGGATTTGGTAGGTTTGCATTCTAAAGGCTTTTAAATAAATATGGCAACATTTTGTGACGTTTCATTGTTGCTGGTGGGTTGTGCGGTGTTTTGAGAGTCACCTAAAGCAAACAGAACTCGAGTAAAGCCTACATTTTTTTTTTAGTTTTTCATTTCTTGATGCCTCCTTAATGTGTCGGAATATACCGCGTTACACGTTTACCCTAATAGAGGAAATTGAAAATTTGGTTGGGTTAGGGTAAACACGGTATATTCCGACACATTAAGGATGCATCGAGAAATGAAAAACTATAAAAAAACGTATGCGTTACATAAGTTCTGTTGCCTTCACATGACTCTCAAAACACTTCACTACGCATCAGCAACGATGAAACGTCACAAAATGTTGCCATATTTATTAAAAAGCCTTTAGAATGGAAACCTACCAAATCCCTATATTATGTCACAGTGTGTGGCAATATTCGACATGTGGTGAGTCGTATTGCGTCAGCACTTCAAATTTAACTGATATGTAATGCCGACATCAACGTATTCGAATTCCGTTCGCTGTGTGAGCTGTATTGGGATACAACACGGCTTTGAATTAGAACACTAACGAATATTGAACACTACTTAATTACGTTTTAATTAACAGCTATTAGGCTTTTAATTAAGCAAATTTCAATTTTTGTACAAAGCTTTGAACGATCTGTGTGTGTCCAATTCAAGTTGTGTCGGAATTAGTTTTCATGTGTCTAAATCCAACATCTCAACTTAATCATCTATTAATTTATTTACGACTTGAAATCAGCGAATACAAGTATACTTAAAGGATTCCTAATATATTCACAGACGTATTTAAAAGTCTCAAACCATAATATTCTTCCTATAAAAACAGTTATTCACTATTTGGTAGAGCCATGTCAACTGTCAAATTTGACACATTTTTCGATGATCTCACCACGTGGCATGCATTGTCTCTCTTTGGATCTCAATATTTTCCCACTAGATGGCCAAGACCTATCTCTTATACACATCTAGATGTGTATAAGAGACAGGTGTTTTGAGAGTCATGTGAAGGCAACAGAACTTACGTAATGCATATTTTTTTTTTATAGTTTTTCATTTCTCGATGCGTCCTTAAAGTGTCGGAATATACCGCGTTTACCCTACCCTACATAGCACAAGAATTGAATCACCAGTTTTACTGAAAATACATCAACAACACAGCAAAATCAAGTATATAACATTATTATTTCATCCATGAATTCATATATAAATTAAAATTAACCATTGATCAATGATCATTGCCAGATCAATTGATTGATCCCATCCTAACTACCATATATGACTTACATTTATTAGGTTAGCATAATTTGTACTGTACAAATTTAAACAAATCATAAGAGGATCAATAAAATGCTTAATAATATTGGCATAGCATGATAGCCATAGGGTGATACTGTGATAGGGATAGGAATCATAGCAGGGGTGGAATACATCTACTTTTAACGGAAATTTCGCGGCCCGAGATCTCCCATTTATATGTAAGTTTGAAATCTCGCGGCTCGGAAGTCAGGTAAAATATATTGATTTAGAAATGTCGCGGCTCCGAAATGGGTCACGTGACGTGTGATGGAAGGGCAAGCCAGCGGTTGGCAGTTGTCGGCAGCAAAACGATAAAGAATAGTGCACCGGCCGATGTATCACTGTATCATTTGAGCTCATGTTGTTGCCACGTGCGGTTGTGCAGTGATAACTCCTAATCCCGTTTCCACAACAACTAGGCTTGGCGCCGGTCTGCGATGCATGGTGGCTTGATACCTGTAA